TATATATATATATATATATATACACATATACATATACACATATACATATACATGTGCATGTGTGTGCGTATATATATATATATATATACACGTGCATGTGTGTGTGTGCGTATATATATATATATATATACATGTGCATGTGTGTGTGTGTGAGAGTATATACAGTGGGGCTTCAAGATACCAGTTTAATCCGTTTTACAACAGCACTACTAGTGTGTCAATCCGCTCCTATCTCGATTGCATTTTCCCTATTAAAAATAACTAAAAACCAATTAATTTGTTCCAGCCCCCAGAAAAATCCTATATATACTATATACTTAAATTAAATTAAAATTCCCTCTCTATCTAAACATCAAAAACATGGATATAAACAAATATATTGACAATATAAAATAACAATAATTAAGAAAATATTAATGTTATTGTTTTATATATATATATATATTATATATATATATATTTATTTGGTGGGTTTGCAACTTTTACTCAGGTGCGACTTATATATTAACATATATAATTTACATGTTTGTTATTTTCACTCTGACAGCCACTAGAGGGCACTGGTGTGACTCATACCTCTAATTTTTTTTTTTCTTCTTCGTTATGCATTTTTTAGCTGGTGTGACTTTTACTCCGGAGCGACTTGAAGTCCAGAAAATACAATATATATAAACATATATCCGTTTATGTTGTCCATGGTAATTGACTGCAATCAATCCATATACATTATATTTGTAATTCACAAACCAACATTTGGAACAAACGTTCTTGGTAGAGGTGAAAACATAGAACAAACTGTAAGCACTGGTAGAATCGCACTCCGGCTTGGACTGTTGTCATCTTACACCCCCACGACACCCACTGCTATAAGCTGCGAGTAGCACTTCCTCCTCCAAATGTGGAAAATACAAGCGAGAAACAACCTGTAAACACTTATGCTTTTATCTTTGACAGGTTCGCCATCTGAAAACACAGCACACAACGACAAGACGGTGCATAATTCTAGCTGCCAGGTAGAGTAAACGACAAGTGAAGGACACGAAGTGTGTGATGTGAGCGCTCTGTATCAAAACAAGTCAAGAAATGGACAGTTTAAAAGCCTGAGATAAATCTGTGATGCGTTATGGGGGGGGGGGGTGTAATCTGATCCTCACCAACAAGAAAGCATTTGTGTCTGTGCTACAATCAGATTGTGTGTTTTCTTAATTAAATTTGTCTTTTTACAATGGTGGCACAGTTACTGGTAATTAGTGCAGCACAGATATTAAAGCGATAAAGGGGGGGGTCTACTGGACACACAGCTGGGGTCTGTAACAACAGAACAACGGACGTGATGTCATCATCATCATCATCATCAAGTGAGATTACAGTCGGCTGCATATCTTGGTTCTACAGACAGTAGGAGGCGATGTGGAGTATGGAAAAATTAACTCCTTTGTGACACTATCTTTACAAATCCACTGTGTGAACTGAGCAGAGGAGAGGAGAATATAAATAGTTCATTGTAACCGTCATGTTATAATATAATTATAAATATAATGTTGCAACAATGCGTTTGTGAGTCACCTCCTACTCCACGTATGTTCAGTTTCTATTTCTATGTACATCACATTCATGAACATCTACAGTATCCAAGGTGACGTAGGCCTGGCTCCACCCAGTTTGGCGCCCTAGGGGAGATTATCCTCCTCTCCCTCCACACCCATGTACATACAAATTAGTGACTGGTAGTACCCCTCCAGCAGATGGCGCTCTATGCAACTGTCTGTATCACCTATGTCAAGAGCCGGCCCTGAGGTGTCCACTTTTCAAAACCAGAACCTAGCAAACCTCAAGTCAAGAGCCTCTAGTGGGCATCACTACAAATTGCTACTGTATTCTTAGAAGGTGTGTCCATTAAGAACTGAAAATATTTGATCAAATGAAATTATTTTAATTCAAATGCAATGTAGAAATCCCTTCTACTGTTGCTCTGTCTGTCCTGGAGCCATTTTTTATGGTGATTGAATATTTTGATTCAAGAATCATTTGTGTACTCCCTTCTCTCTTTCTCTCTCTCTCTTTGCTTCAGCCGCTCACTTCTGCTTGTTCTTGCCTCACTCTTATCTGCCTGCCTCCTCCTGCCTTCACATCTTCACCCCCCCGCCCCCTCCCCGGCCCCCGTCTCTCCCATTGCGTCCTAGAGCTTCTACTTTCATCCATTATTTTTAACCCTCAGACTACCTCATTCTGACGCAGATGGTCGCGTAACACAGACACAGTGAACTAAAGACGGAAAGTGTCAGAGATGTGGTTTCAGACAGAGCCATAGACAGATGGAGGGAGAGAGGGAGGGGGGAGAAAGAGAGAGATTGAAAGAGAAAAAACAAGCAGATGACATTCATATTAAAAAAGAAAACATGGAGTGGAAGGAGGAGAGGACGAGAGACGGATGTAGATGAAGAGGGAGATGGAACTATCGTCATTCATACCTTTTACCTATAACATGTAGTATTCACACTCCCCAGCAGCCCTTTGACATCAACATGCACACTTCCTCACTTAGGTAACATATATGGCTAAGATTAAACACACTTCTTCTTCTTTCCTTCCTTCATCCCTTCCTTCCTTCCTCCCTTCCATCCTTCCTTCCTACCGACTCCACCGATAATCCTGAAAGCTGCACACACCCACTCATCTGAGTGAGCAGAAAGAAGAGGAGTTGCATATCAATCTTACATCACTCATCAGTCAACGATGGGACGTTTCAGTCAGTCACTGAATGAGCATCAGCTCGGCGTGACACACACCAGCTGTCAGCTTGATGTGTTTATCTCCCTCTGAACGCCAAAATACAAAATTAGGCAATTCATTTATTAATTAACAATTACGTAGCAGGGATCAGACCAGACATCGGCGTCACACGATACTGAAAAGTGTCTCCATTCTGACCCGACACCTTTCTCCTCCACCTGACAGTTTTCACCTGGTCTGGAACACTTTCTAAAACTGTCCATCCAACTGATGTCATAGATGTTCCATCTGAACTCAAGGCCAACATTAGTGGTGGAAAAAGGTTTGATTGTGTGGTTAAACGTGTCAGGGTGACATGTTGACGTTCTGAGAACTTTGGTTCCTTCAGTAGAAAGACACTCGGGGAATCATGGGTCTCTGACAGGAAGTCAGACTCAAACCATCTGCTGAGAAACGTTTACAGAGCACTTAGTGGGGAAGAAGATAATGGTGTGATTCCACTGACAGTAAATGACAAGACATGGAGTACAGCTCAGCAAATCACAGGATTATTGCCACTAGAGGGCGCCATGGTGCTCTGAGTTGTACTTTCATTGAATACCTTTATTTTAAATGAACAAACTTCTCTCATACTCCATCACATGACTTTCCTGTTTGACAATCAAGTCCAATGGCTAATGGACAGAAACCATATCACCAAACCACATTTGTGAAGCAGCTGTCGAACGTACACCAAGAAATCTGCTCTCCTGTACTTTGACTTCACTGACAATAATTCATGTTTTCTTGGAATCACTGAAAGTATGAATTGTTCTTATCATTTTACCAGAATGAAGAGCCTGACGGTCCTCAGTCCTCCTGGGTACAGTGAGCATCTTTGCCATCAGACCATCAGTGGACAGCTGGTCCGTGCATGCGTGTTGAGTTTTTCTCCAGATGGACCAGTGCTTCTCCTGTACAACAACATGCAGGAGTGGGTTAACTGTTCACTGTAAATAGACTCCAAGGTCACGTCCTCTGAAGCAGTGATGTAAAAGACAACTATGCTGGAGACACTTCACCTGTCATCCAAGGTTGTCCTCTGAAGTGAAGATGGACTGCTGGGATTGGCTCCATCTGACCACATGGTCATCATCTCGGTGTAGTTGTTTCATCTGGAAGCTGCGTGAAAACATCAGTCTCAGTTCAGTCATCATTTCATCCACTGCACAAACTCTGAGAAGGAACCGGAAGTCATGCTATTCTAAATGTGGTTGTTTTTTTCAGTACTCCAAAAAAATGTAAACACTACTGTACACATAAAAAAACGTGAAAGTCCAGGTCCAGTGAGGTCCAGGCCAACAAGGAAATCAATAAATGGTAATATTCCAACGGCTGGATACCAAAGAATTATCATCAATTATCAAAAAAAATCATAAAAGCCCAATAAAGATACAGTCATTTACTATGATATAAATACAATTTATTACTGACATTTTATGTGGTAATTGGGAATAATGTTTGTATTTTTTCTAGTTTAAAACAATATCAACTATTAATATGTTGGAAAAATACAAAAATATTTATATATACAAATATTTAATACAAATACAAATAATGAGACCTAAAATTGTGAAAAAGTATTGTTTTTACTTTTTTGTTGTAATTATAGGGATGTACAAATATATATGTATATGTATAAATATACTGTATATATGCAGTTTATGTTAAAATGTGATTAAAATAACTTTTTTTACTTTACTTTGTAATTCTACAAGTATTTTAATTCTATTTTTATATTTTAATGAAGAAAAACATCAACAGCTTATTCTTATAATCAACTAAAAAATATCTGTGAAATCACAATGTATTTGTGAATGTATTTTAATGGTATATTAATATTGTAATTATTATAAATAAAAATAAAAAGCACAATAATTCTCTTGAACATTTTCTTTTCTGCAGGAATACACAGAAACGTAAAATAATGTTTAAATATACTGTACTAGATTTTGTTTTACAGTACACAGCATATGAAGCACCCCCTTCGCTCCCCCTCTGTCTCTCTCTCTTCCTCTCTCTCTCCTCCTATCTCTCCCCCTCTACCCTCCCTCTTCCTCTACTCATTATTAAGCAGCATCATACCGCGAGGAGTCATTAAGCTCTTGTATGCTTTCCCATAATGCTCTGCTGCTGCTGTTGAATCAATCCCAATTCACAGAGTGACATCAGAGGCATGGCTGTAAATAGTCGTAGCCACATTTGTGCCTCTGTGTGTGTGTGTGTGTGTGTGTGTGTGTGTGTGTTTAGTGTACTATAATAAGGTGGACTTTTCCTGTAAAATCACTGTGGTTGTGGGGGCGTGGTCCCATTTTTCAGGTACCTGCTGGGGGAGTGTGTGTTTTCAAGTTTAAGATTTAGTTTGGAATTAGGATGTACAGTAAGTACTGGTCAGATTAGAGTTAGGATTAGGATTAGATATGTGTGTGTGTGTGTAGTGTCCAGACACAGACTTGGTTGGTTCTGCAGCTCTGATTATTGGTTGAGATGAACATTATACATAGTCAGTATAGTGAGTGAGTCCGTCTGTGTGTGTGTATTTCCCTCTGGTCTATTCATACGAATGTCCATGCGTGTGTGTGTCAATTAGTACATATTTGCATGTGTACATGTGTGTCACTTTGACGTCAGTCCTCCTCCAATTCAGATTTCTCTGCCTGGTGAAGAAGACTCACAGCACCTTGTAGGTGTCTTTTCTCAATGCTGTGTATTTATAGACCTCACTAAACTGGGAGCTAGAGCGACAAGTTAAAGTGCAGCCATTACCTCACTGGTTTGAAGAAGGAAACTGAAGTCAAAGAAACATATTTCTGTCACTTGTTTTTTTTTTTTTTTTACTGATAAAAAGCAACTCATAAATAACAAGTTAGAACTTGCTTATTGCTGTGAGAATATTAGATTAATAATGGTTCACACTGATGCTGCCTCAGCTGAAGGTTCAAAGACAAACCTGTATGAAGCTGTGGTACAGCTGGTTCATTCTGTGCTGTTCTCATTAGAACATGTTCATCTTAATTTGGACAAAAGCCTCTGTCTGTCAGTCATCTCTGCTCTAACGTGGTTAAAGTCAGAAACCCACTCCATTATCTCTGACTTATTTTTATGTCTCAGAGTTTTAATAGGTTCTATAAAAGTTCTTGACGTCAGGCTGTAACAGAGAATGAACTAAATATTTCATCAACCTCCCTGGACAGAAGTGAGAACACAGGAGGAGGACTAGTGTGGTCTGAAGCACTTCAGCACTGACATGTGACCACAACAAACCAATCAACACCATGATGGTGGGGTGAACACATGTAAAATGCTGGTAATGCATTAAATCTGAACACGTTGTTTGGTGAAGAGTTGGAGGTGGAGTTCTTCCTTCTCCTGATCTCTTGAACTAGCAAGTATGAAGTAAGTAAGAATGGTTCTGTGGGACTGTGGGACTGTGGACAGGTGAGAAACACTGACCTGAGGTCCAGGCCAACAAGGAAATCAATTTTAATTGGATGGACTGACTTAAACCACAACTCTGTGTCTCTGTATTTATTTTGTTTGTTTTTGTCATGTTGTTGCATGTTTATGTATATAAATTATATAGAATATTGTAAACATTTGTCCTAATGTCAATAAACAGAATCATGTTTGCAGAAATAAGGTTAGAAACTTTTTAACACTGTTAACAAATGTGAAGGCAACCCTTGGTTTTCCCACTCACCCACGGTCTTCTGTTGACTGACTGAGTGATGACGTCTGTGAAATACTGTTCGAGAGACAGAGAGGGAGAGGGAGGGAGATGGGGGTGAGAAACAAAAATCATATTTGGAACCAGAAGGTGAAAACTGTATTTGTTGTGACAGTTTCAAACGTTTCATAACACGGTGGTTAAAAGTGGAGGTAGTCATTATGATCACAGGTGAGAGAAGGAGAACAACCTGTGGCTCCTGCTCCTCCTGCCCCGGCTCCATTTTTGTCTCCACTCCTCCGTCGCTCCTTATGGTTCGGTTTTCATGTGGAAGACGGAAGACAGCAGCAGCAGCAGTAGTAGCAGCAGCCGTGTGGGTGCAGGAGCTGTTTGTCACAGATTCACCTCACCATCGGCCACTGGGGGCAGTGTGCACCAAACTCATTCTGAGCAAGAAGTGACTGTGGCTGTAGCCTGGGAACTGTTCGGCTGATGTCTTCAACATGTGGGTGGAAGAGAAGGTTTGGGGTTAAATTACCATTTGAAGAGGGGAAATGGAATGATGATACAGTTGTACCTACAGCACAAAGACTCAAGTCCCACTCCAGGTCTACAGGTCACTGGTAGAACAAGAACCATCTCACATTAGCGTACACACAATTAGAAAGATGACATCACTGAAACTGTTTCCACAGGATATATTTGGGCACCCCTGATCATTTTCAAGATTTTCCTTTTTGTATCATTGGTTGTTCGGAACAGCAATTTCAATTAAATATATCATATAGCAAACAAAGACAATGATATTTAAGAAGTGAAATGAAGTTTATAGGATTTACAGAAAGTGTGCAATAATTACTTCAATATTTAGTAGATCCTCCTTTTGCAGAAATAACAGCCTCTAAATGCTTCCAATGAGGGTCTGGATTCTGGTTGAAGGTATTTTTGACCATTCTTCTTTACAAAACATCCCCAGTTCAGTCAGGTTTGATGGTTTCCGAGCATGGACAGCCCACCTTAAAACTGTCTTAATTGACATTACATTGATTTTCCAATCACTGTAATAGCTGTCCCTGGAATAACTAGAACAACCTAGATCTGAAGCCAGATGTGACCGAGTTTTAGTATTATATCATCATACTGTACGTGATGATATAATACTTATTAGAATCACTGGAATGAAGATGGAGAGGTGAGAACAAACCCCACTAATCAGTCTGATTTGATGCTGTCAGCAGCAGACCACCGCTCTTTTTGTCTGCCCGCCAACTGTGTGTTTCATAGGCGGACGGCCCTGGTAATGGAGTATTCACAGTGGGCTGCTGCCTGCCACACCCCTGACTGCACAGAGACACAGAGCTGCTGATGACACCCTCAGAAAGCTGCTAATGAAAAAGCCTCTATTCCTGAGCTCGCTCTCAGTCAAACACTTAGAGCGCTCGTATAATATCAGAGGTTCACTGACGGCACGACGATGACGTCACCACTGTGAAAAATACAGGCCTAACGCAGGAAATCATATTCATTTTTTCATATAGTTTGATGTGACACCGGCAGAGTTTCAGAGAAAAACGGAAGTGAGCATGAACTAAAGTTACCACATGAAAAAAAGGGTTAAATTTTCTCCTTTTCCAAATAAACCTCCTGTATGACAGAGTATCGACTACATATATATATATAACTACACATACATATATGTGTGTATATATATATACACATATATATATATATATATATATACATATACATATATATACATATGTTACCACTTATCTACGTTGTGGCTTACCTATAGCTGAGTTTGACCGTGACACTTGTGTGTGTGTGTGTGTGTGTGTTACCACTAGTCAAAACAGTGTAAGATTAACGCAGTGACAGATCTTCTTAATCCCACTTAAGCAAACACTAGTCTTGAAGTTACTCTGGTGATCAGAATCGACAGCTGAACAGTTTGACATATCCACATTATGTTTTCTTGTAAAAGAGAACGTGACGTTTCTCTTGTTGGATCTAAATATGTGTTGTGAGACAACTTTTTACCAAGTCTCCAGACAGATTTGTCTGAATTCATGTGTATACTGTAGTGAACACAGAGGCCTGTGTGACTCTGTGGCTGCAGAATTTTACTTCTAAATAACACCAAACACACACTCAACCACTGGAACAGTTACCGTCACTCTCCCAAAACCCTAACTCTTACAGCTCTCATTCACACCCTGGGGGCAACTGCAGTGAGTCAAAGGTACAGCTAGAGGGAGCCCATGTACCTCCAGTGATATGCATACCATAGTTTGAGAACAACAACAGTAGGAGAAGATATAAATGAACTGATATTATAAATCAAGATGAAAAAATAAATTCCTGCCAGTTTCTCATCCAGGGGAATACTTCAGGTGTGTCCTCCATGGACACACTCTCCGTCCACCTTCTACTGTTGGACTATGGACATGCTCAGCAGCAGCTAGAGTCACAAAGATCACTGGTTGCCACTCCTCACACTGTATGGGGGAGTCAGCAAGTCTGACCTATCTAGGACAAACCCCCACCACTCCTTTTTTACCTTCTTCCCTCAGGCAGACACTACAGGTCACTGTAGTCACAGTCACACCGAGTTAACCCCATCTTCAGACTCTTAACAAACAGCTCTATAAATCCAATAAGTAATAATGATAATTAGTCACATTTATTTATTTTTATCTTTTATACATGGGGCTGTGGTGGCCGGGTGGTTATGACAGCTGACTTGTGTCCAGAAGGTTACGAGGTTTGAATCCACCAACCCCTTGGTGCCACTAAGGTGCACCGTCCCCACACGCTCCTCACTGAGCTTAAGCTGCACCCTGCTCACTAAGGTGATGGGTTAGAGGCAGGGGTCACGTTTCGTTGTGTGCAGTGGGATGGTGTGTCACAATGACAGTAAATCACTTTCACGCTCATGTATTTTAAATCCAAATTCCCTGAGACTCTTACATAACTTCCTCCTCGCTTTAGTTGTGTTCTTTGTATAAAGCTGAGGTTTGTGTACTTGTCTGTACACCACTGTGTACCACTGTGTACCACTGTGTACCACTGTACTCTCTGCTCAGCAATGGAGGCTAAAAGCATGAGATAAATGGCTAAAATTTAAAGTGTGAAATGTTACATAAAGATGAGGTGCAGCTGTGAAATTACCTGCTCTTGGCTCAAGACCAGTGTGGGAGCTGTGGGTACATTTTCCCTGCATCTGTGGGAAGACGTGTGCATTGATGTCAGCGGAGCGGAACAGAAGTTCTGCTGCAGGTGAAGTGGTGAATCGAGCGACGAGAACGAGAGCGGAGGTGATGGATGTATGACACATGCTGAAAGGACAGGAAGTGAAAGGAGCTTGAAAAAGAGGGTGAGAGAGAGGAGAAGATTTAGGGCCGAGCAGCAACGGTGCCTCGAGAGAGGGATGTTGGCCATTTACACAACATTCCTTAGAATCAGAGAACAAATATATATAAGTTCACATATGATCACAACACCATCCATCTGAAAACCCTGTTCAGTAATAATCCATATGTCGTTGAGCACTGACCACTGATCCACGTGACCATGACAGCAGTCTGATCCACAGTCCACAGTCTCATCACAACCAAACCTCCATCTAACACTATTCCCTTCAGTTCTGTCATCAACGCCCATCAGACAAACAATACCAGCAAAAGCAATAAGCTGTGAGAAGCAATAACCTGGCTGCTGCTGCTGCTGCTGCTGCACCTGTGGGTGAGCTGAGAGCAAGCACTAACAATAATCTGAATCTCCCACTTCATCACTATATAAAATTAAAGCCCTCTGTCTTCTCTCCTGCATGGACGTCTCTGAATGCAGTAGTGGGTGTTGGCTGCAGATGAACGTCCAAACATGGACATGCAGTAACGAGAGGTCACCGCTGAGGCCATTAAATAGTGAGGCTGTTAGGATGTTATTAGTTCATTAGTTATCCTTAACAAAAAAACTCATTTTTATTAACTTAACTAAAAAGATCCAACAGGTAACCAAACAAACACCAGAAAATATACGACATATTTTTACACAATTTGAGCAAAAATAAGCCACAGAGAATAAATATTATAGACTGTAGATATTGGATATGCTAAATGCTAGCTTGGAAGATCTTTTAAAGCAGGGGTCACCAACTAGTAGCCCCATTGACTACCTAAGGTGCCCGCAGGCTATGTTCTAAAAATGAAACTGGTCAACAAGAGGTTGTACAGTTACAGTGATACATTATTTAGCATAGGAAAAAAAAAATCCGCCAATCACTGCTTTTATACACAGTCCACACACATTTTCATGTGCACACATGGAAAAAGTTTTCATTTCCAGGTGTGTGAAGATGAACTGTAATGACTAAAACCCACCGACTCTATGAAGATACATTTTCACTTATTTTAAACATTTGTAGATTTTTCTTGACATGTTTCCTTAGTAATAATTCCATCATTTGGATTAGTCACGCATAAAAAAATATGAGAAACACTGACATCTACCTGCTAACATTGGAATGACATTGCAATTAAGTATCACAAAAATGTCCACGTTTTATCTCATACTTATTTTTTTATATATATTAACTTCAATTTATGACATATCAAAGTATAACAACTGAAACTCAATTCAAGCCCGCAGTCACCTGACGACCAGGTGGGAGACACAGAGACCTACAGCGAGTGGGAGCCTTTAGATGGCAAGAGCAGTGTGTGCAGTAAACACCAAGGTGACTGTTGCTATCACAACTTCTGCTAACACTACAGCAGTGACCGCTCTGATATCAGACACTATGACGTGTCTGTGTGTGTGTGTCACCCACAGAATAACAGTGAATATGTTGAAGGTGAACTTTCAGCCAGAGAATTGTCAAGCACCAATTAAAAGCCATCTGTATTCTCGATGTCAGCTCAAATGGACCATATCTGGGTCAGTTCTGTTTTTGGACTCATTTCGGCTGACATGTTCCCGACCTGTCAGACGGCAGCTAACCATCAAACAACACCATATGTGGGTCAAAGGAAAGTGTCAGAAGCTATGGCCCTGTTCTGGAACACAAATATTCTACTGTCCATGTGAAGCCAAAATACATTGTTGTTGGCTCCATCGTTAATATGATCCCATTTAGAGGAAAACAGACAATAAATCACAATGATGAACAGCACCTCAATACAAAAGTCATGTGTCTCCTCCTACACTATTTGCATGTTGTTACTTGTTAAAAGAGCGAAATGAAAAGCTCTCCATGAACCCTTTTCCCTTCAAGACTCCAGGATTTTCTGGGCGCAGCACATGTCATGACACAAAGGAGCCCTCTCTCTGGTTATTGTCTATAAAAAGAGGGCAGTAACATGAGCCAGAAGAAGAGAGAAGTGAGAGTGAAGGAGTTTGAGAGGGCGAGCTGTTTCATGGAAATGACAGAAGTTACAGAAGCACAGAGCAGAGAGCCAGATGGTGAGTGACTGAAACACAGCTTAAAAATAGAAACCAGAAAATAGTCAGGTCTGGAAGAACGTTGCCCCCTGTCTGTCTGACAATGACTGACACCCAGTTCTCTCGCAGTCTCACAGGAAGAACCAGTACGAAGATGAAAATGATGATGATGATGACAACTTTCCCAGTCACAGCACTGAGATGAGACGCCACCTTCAGGCCTGAAGCAGTATCCGTGCAAGTCATAAAATGTTAACTACACACAGGAGATGTTTTACAATCTCATTTGAAAACATGAAGCCCAGAAATGAACCTGAACCTGAACCTACAGACAGCTGATGCTACTACAACAGGATATTAATTCACAAACCAGAACAGATCCAGAAGAGCTAGATCAGAAACATGATCCCGAGAATTTACAGATAAACGTTTTCATGTGATTTATAACAGTAAGCCATCACATTGTGAGTCAAAGCTACCATTTATAGTCAAGGCTTCCATCATTTGACATATGTCACCGCACTCCTACGTTTTTATCGGAGCTATTGTGTTTTGGTCTAAGGAGTATAGACTGAAGGTGACTATGTTTGTAAATGAGGTTCATGGAAACATGAAGTCCTAATTTTCCCCCAGCAGTCACACTGTACGTCTAAGTTTCCATGGTGACAATGATGAATGTTTGATGGTGCCTACTGGCTTAATATAAAGTTGGTGACTTTGGCAACACACCACCCACCAGTGAAGACACACAGTCACAATCATCATCATCATCAGCAGCAGCAACAGCAGCAGCAGCAGCAGCAGCAGCAGCAGCCACAGCAGCCACAGCGGCCACAGCAGCAGCAGCAGCAGCAGCACCCAACCTTAGATGACTTTTAGAGCTTTTATCAGACGACATGCACCGACTGTGAACAGTTATGACAGCAGAATAAATTATGGCACTAAACGTAAAAGTCAATTAGTGAAAATCACTAGATTTAATTTTTAAAAACGCATTACACTGTCACTGTATATCCCATAATTGCACCTTCTGCCTAGTTATCATTGCTCAAATACACAGACGATACTTATATATCTTTTCTACCAGACACCGTTCAGATGAACAGTAATGACCAAGTCTATGAAGAGACATTTTTACAGATTAATAATTATATCAATTGGATTAGTCACAGATAAAAAATGTGAGAGAATTTAGTTCATTTTTAGCAATAAACATGGTTTTTGTACTACTGAGCCCCAGTTTATTAATTTATCTCAATAAATCATGAACAACGGTGATAAATCAACCACTAACATGTGATCAATCAGGTTCAAAATTCTAAATGATTAAAATCCTTGAATAAGTAGATCGAATAAATAATAATAATTATTATATGTGGAATGCATGTTTCTTTAATAAGACGAAAAAGAAAATAGTTTTATGAAAGGACTAAAGGACTAAAGGACTAAACTAATTATATGGCTTTACTGGTCTTAACAGAAATGCGCAGCTTATAAACAAAATAATTAACACATTCATTACTTTTAGTCCCATACACAAGGTAGTTACACAAATATGTGAAATATCAAACCATTACAGTGAACGACAGCTTTGAGTTTCTCACCAACACCTCAGTTTCATGACCTCTGTCAAACATTTCTAGAAATAGTTTCTTCTCACAAGCAAATACTAGAGCTATGAAACCAAGATCCACGACCTAGTTTGTGTCCTAGCCCCGGTGGAGAACAGAATTCAGAGCTCTGAAGGGTTCCTGAAACAGTGCAGTGCAGTTTAACCTACAAATGCAAACACTTTTCCACCGTCTCACCTCCTCTCTCCTTTCTCTTTTCTCCTCCTCTCACCACCCCTCCTCATCTCTCTGTCCTTCCCCACCAGAGGAGTCCTCTCCCTGGTGCAGACCTTCTGCCCTCCGCCTCCCGGCTTTGGGTGAGTCAACCCTCTGAGCCCATTCATCTTGGCCCCTCTCCCCCCTGTCCTCTTCCACCACCTGCTCATCATCCTCTCCCTCCTCTTCCTCTTGACTTTTCTCAGAATCTGACTCATCTGAGTTGTCATCTTCCAGGTAGCGATAACCTTTGACCTGTGAAAAACAAAGCCATGTTTTTTATGATAATTAGTCAACGCAAAACTAGGTCAATGTTTATTTACTGTCAAGAATCAAGTAAATTAGGGTTATTTAATTAGACAGTGTGTATCATTGGCTTAGCACTGAAAACCATCTAGGGCTAAAGCTTAGCTATTGCTAACTTTTATCCATCTCCTTCTCTCTATGCACTTAGGATTCATCCAGAAAAAAATATTTTATTTTGGTCATTCACAATATCACCACTATTATAAATAAAAGGTGAAACATTTTCAAACCGGTGATGAAAAAACAATAAAAAGAATTAGCAGACAACAAATACCAATTAGACTATGAATACAGAAAATACACAACAAACTCATTAGTAGGTGGAAAAAATGTTTATCAAAAATACATAAAATACAGAATTGTGCAAAACATATAAAACTGTTCAGGCAGAAAAAGACATTGTATTCAAGCATTAAAGGAAGGTAAAGGTTTTCAAGCAGCTGTGAAAAGGCTGTGGTTACCTTGTGTCGTGGACGTGGGATACGTGGCAGTCTGGGTCGTACGTCCTTAGCCACCCGACGCTCCATCACCCAGTAACAGTAACAGGACAAGATTAGGAAGGCCATGAGGATGGAGAGTTTGGCCTGAAAAAGAAAAAAAACAGGTTTTGTGTAGAATTTATTTTTTAAATCACACAAATAATGCTGTAAAACAAACTATACTCCACCCTCATAGGCAGCTTGGACCAGAGGTAAACAATAAAGATGGCGATGGCCTGCCACCAGTGATAGATGGTGTAAACAAAGTCCAGACGTTCTTTCTCTTCAGCATACAGTACACCCAGAAGAGCTGAGACACACACACACACACACACACACACACACACACACACACACACACACACACACACACACAGTGAGTCGACGCTGACACTTCATGTGTGAACACAAAAGTTTAGGCACAGAACGTCCCGACACCTCCACCACCACAACTATTACTCACTGCTGAGGCCCGTCTTGTTCAGGGCGGTGCCAAGGCCCCACAACACGGAGATGACCAGCAGAGGGAGCAAATACTCTGAATAGGTCTCGTCCTTCTTACGGACCAGGGAGAATATCTGAAGGGCCACTAGCAACACCAGATGTACAACAGCGCCACCAACCAGACATATCCAGCGGGGGAAACGAAGAAGGAGAAGAGACAGGATGGAGAAGAGGGAGCAGGAAAACCCGTAGACCACAATGAGGAGCCAGAGCTTATTCAGGCCCAGGATGCAGACTCCATAGGACTGTAGAAGGAGAAGGAGAAAAAAAGAAATGTCTTTTATTCACATTAATCATCATTGTAACCAGTGAAAATGTATCAACTGTTGGACCATCATTTAACTTTACATGTCTGGTCCTACCAACATTTTGGCTAATACTGGCTAAGCTTTCAGACCAGGCCTCACCAACCTGTTAATAGTGGAAATTAATTGTTTGGACAGGACAGGCATGTAACTTGGCAACTGAGTCCATGGGGGGAACTGGTAGCCCCCGTGGACTACCACGTTGGTGACCCCTGTTTTAGACCTGAGCTATAAATGCTAATTACCAGTTGTTATATATAAATTAGGATGATCTATACCATAATGAAGCCTATGTTCAATCGTCATCTCGAATTTTACATTAACAGCTGTTTGTAGTAAAAAGGAAGGATTATGGTTCGTTTAAAGACTTTTCCCTAATGGTGACAATTTGATGACATTAATCTCATAAATTGTTTCCATAATGATAGATAATTACTGATGGCTTGTCCCTTCATCAGGGGCCACCAACACAGTAGTCTATACAGTATCCAAAACAAAGCAGTACCAAAGAAAACCCAGTGATGGCGAACAGTGTTTCAAAGCCACTGTAGAAGAAGAAGGGACAGAGCAGTCGGAGACGGTAATCCCTCAGATGTTTGAAGGGCAGCTGGAAAATGTTTCCCCAGCCAATGCTTCGAAGGTCAATCTCTTCTGTCGGCCTGTAGGCGGCGCCACACAAGGCAAGAAACTGTGGGAGTTTAATGAGAAGCGTGAGGCCACTGTGGAGCGGATGTGAAACGATGTCAGCGTGTGGAGCAGATCTCACAATGATCATAGCCAGGAAGGCGAAGCCCATGAGGACGCTCTCCACCTGGATGAGCAGCATGGATCGTGGAAGTACGTACAGAATTGTGGTGTTAAATCCAGGGATCAGGCCACTGATGGGAGCACCTGAGGAGAACCAGACAGTGTTTCTTTAAATCACAGTTTTACAAATGTTTAAACATTAAACTGTATTTTTATTGGCCATCTTATTTCTTGCATTATTTTGTTCATTTGACCTTTATTATTCATGACCTTTATGACTTAGAGACATGTTGTTCTGACTCCGTCTGATGTTCTGAGGAGTTTCTAAGACTTTTATCAGTTTTTCTTTAGACTGTTTTTCTGAACTGGTTGACCTTGGTGCTTTACCAACTGTGCCACTTAAAGAACCAGTACATTCTAGTGATTGTGTTTTTTTTTTCATTTCCAGGAGGTCAACTGTGTTTAAGTTGCTGCTCCTGTTGTTTCCCGAGTGTTGTTTAAAATGAAAAAGCAAAGCTTTTGTCAGTAGGTCCCGTCTGCAGACCAATCATCCACCATCATGGAAACATCACAGTAAATTACTTGTTAAAGTGAATCATTTTCCTCTGCACGTGCCTCGCGTCATGCCCCATGTCGTGCCCCACAACAAAAGTGTGTTAACACCTGTGGTTATTTTCCAGGTAATGGTTTGTTTAAGGAAAAGTGTGTTTACCGCAGACTTTGACATTGAAGAGAATGTGACCATTGTCTAGCAGTTTGAGAACAACAAGCATGGGGAACTGGGCAAAGATGAAACTCAACTGGGGAGAAAAACAGAAAACAAAATGTTTTTTTCCCACAAGTACAATTATAGATGGTGCAAGAAGGTGTAAAAAGCCATTAATGGAATCTCACAAAGAAGATGATGTGAAAGACAGACTGGAAGATGATGATGTAGCGGTGGCAAGCTCCTTTGGGAAGCTTTTTCTGTTCCTGCACATGCTCTTCCTTGTAGTTGACATACTCGTAATACTGCTGCGCCATCCTGCAGGAGGTGAGTGAGACCAGAAAAAAAACACAAACATGCCCATAAGACAAAGTTTGATAGTCTGTAGGGTGGAGGCAGGCTGGACTGACTGGAGACAGGTTTCAGGCTGTTGGACAGAAACGTCCAACAGACCAGTGTTTCATAACCTTTTCTGAACCAACACAGATATTTTGCATTGGAAAAATCCCTGGTACACAACCAAAAATAAATATCACAAAGTTTATGTAATTAAGTGATTGCCAAGTTTGCTTTTTTTTTAAATTTATTTTATTTATATGGTCTTTATTGTCATTGTACCACAGGGACACAACGAAACTGAGCCTCTGCTTTTAACCCATCACCAAGGGGAGCAGTGGGCAGCTTTAAGCGCCCTATGCCAATACTGTCCAAACAATTAATTTCCGATTCCGATATCAACCAATTACGACATAGCGGGGCAGTGGTGGCCTGGTGGTTAAGGACACCTGCTCACTAAGGCGCTGGGTTAAAGCAGTGTTTTCTACCCCTATTGGGATACTATTAATATTAATAATATTTATTTGTTTATCTGTACAAACCACTATACAGAGGTGCTGGCACCAGCGTTCTGCATACACTGTCATTATTTAAATGGATTAATAAAACGAGCTGCAAATGCTGCCGTCTAGTGACTTTCACTTTCATATACAGTCGTTTTTTTCCCAAAACTATTTTTAGGGCACACATCATTTGGCAAAACCAAGTCATTGGGTTATCGGGTTATTATCGGACATCCCTAATTAAAACAATTATGTTAAATTAGACTAACTTCCTAAGGTACACCTTATGGTCCCACAAGTCGCATCAAGGTTCCACAGCACAGTGTAAAATCATGGAAGCATTCTCTGACTGACAACACTGCTGCACAGACACAGAGTATATTAGATCAGTACCAGGCTATTTACAGTCACTGTAACACACTCTGATAGGTGTCGACAAGACCGTCAAGGAAACTACAAGTGCTGTTTGCTGACAGTTACATAACAAAGGTTAAAGTTCAGGTTATGTAAATCGTTGTCTTTGACAACAAAACTTTTTTGTTCTCACCTGGTTATGTAATTTCCCAAGGACGCCCAGAGTGGTACAATGACCGCACCGATGGCTACAGCTGACGGAACAAGAGTGTAGTACCGTTCCCAGTAATTGGTGGAGACAAAGAGAGCGTAGATTCCTGAAGCCAGAAACATCATCCACTTGGTTCCCAGAAACCTGTTGACCAATGTTGAACATTAAAAATGTTGAACACTGAAGATTTGAGAACATGGAGCCAACTACTCAAAATAAATGAGTTTATGAAGAGTGAAAACTTTAACTAAACAGTTCTTATGTATAGTGTTGGGATTCAAAATTTATTGTATCTTTTTTTTGACGGTTTTGAGCATACAAAGTACGCAACATCATGTTTGTAGACAACATGTGCACAGACTTTGGTCAACACAAAAACTGAAATCACTTCTTCATCACTTCGATCATTTTCACAGTAGCAAACACAACTAGAGCCACGGGTAGAGGCATACAAACTGACATTCACACCTGTAGTGTGTCATTTATACTTAACCTAACACTGCTTGTTTTTGTACTTTCTGAGGACACCATAACCCCTGGAGAAACACACTACATCACTTTTTTTTCTCTTTCAACTAGGAATTTGCCACAGTCATCCCACCCACACTCCTTCATCCACATCAAAATTAAAGAAGTTCTGTTGTTGCCAACAGCCTATCAGCATATCGTTGACATGTAGATGACATCCCATTTACATGTAGTACATGTACTGACCAAACCAACCAACCACATTGAAGCAACGGAAAACAGCTTCCTTTTATGCGTCCAGCTCACAGTCCAAAAAATAGGTTGCTGACGGGCAGAAAAAAAAGACCGTGAGCTGCTGTTTGAGACCACTGCTCTATAGAGTTTAAATGTTTTGTCCAGGTGATTTCCCCCAACACGTCTGATTAGGTGAATTGGTCACTCTAAATTAAGTGTAGGTGTGAATGTGAGTGTGAATGTTCACATGTGGTGCTGTGATGGATCAGTGAATCAGTGTCAGACCAGAGTCCAGCCCTGCCCTCGCCTGATGACTATTTGGATTATCTCCAGCTCCTCCACTGACCCTGAGATGGATAAAGCAGCAGGAGATGAATGAATGTCTACCTGATGAGGAGGGGGGTGTAGAGCAGACCTACAATGGGCGTGACATTGATGCCCATCAGTATCTTGCGGTCGATGTCCACCAGGCCGAGGTTGCTGTACTTCACCTCTCTGTAGGTCGTGTCATAATGGAGCAAGAGCTGCATCTGAAGAAGACCTGCGGAGAACGTATAAGAACAGCTGAGAGTCTGCAGCTCAGCCCGAGTTTCTCCAACAACCTTCTCTCCATCCACTCACCCATGTAAACACTGTAGACAATCATGGCTCCAACACTGGCTGCAACCACATTCTTGATGACACCGAGCCTCTTCCTACGGTAGTACTTCTTTTCCTCTTCCTCCTCATTGTACTCAGAGTGAGGGCCCAGAAACTCCTCCATCTATGACCAAAGTTAACAAATTCATTTTCGTCCAACACAATCTGAAAAACATTTTTCAACAACACTCTCACCTGGCCCTGTATGTTGTCGTCTTGACCCAAATCTCGCAATTCGTTAATGACACCATTAGGAGGTGCTTTAACATCAGCATCTCCGAGCTGCTCTTCTCCGTCAGCTGCCTCCATCTAGTGACCAAAAAGCAACAGTACAGCGATTTCGTTGCGTGGTAATTTCACTTCTGCTCATTTAATAAAAGGATTCTCTTACTGATGTAGAAAAGCAATTCATTATTAATAGTTGAGATAATGATACTTTCTTTTCATAGCTCCTGTTCCAATACATGTTCATCGCCCCCAGGTATGCTGCCACAGTATTTCATTTTACACATCAGTTGTTCCTGATTGTCATCCCAGAGTGTGGTCGAGATTCATTGTGCTGCACTCTATAGCTGTGTTTTGTAATAAAATGTATTGTATTGTATGTATTACAGTTTAAGGATATGAATCTTTTTTTAAAAAACTTGATACTTTAGTAAAGAGAAGAAACAATGGGCAGTGTTCATTTAAGTCGGGTCTTCTTCCCATATTTGTTGTCATTAAATAAATTATAATTATAGATTTATAATAAATCCTAATTACATTTACAGTCACAGTCTGTGGTCGTGTTCTTTTTTTAATTCTGACAAAGTCATGTTGCTATAAAGAGGATATGAACCTGTGTAATGTGAACACAGCACACTTCCCTTGTTAGATTTATTTTTAGAGTACATTGCCTACTAATATACAGATGAACATACGTCTGTATTATAACAAACTACAGTATTCAGTACTAAACCACATTAAGCTATCCCTTATTTTTATCTAACTTTGTTATTCCTATGCTGCCTTTTTACTGATTTTTGTAGCATACATATAGACATACACACATACATGTGTGCATATATGTATAAATACATGTTAAATGTTAAATTCTGCGACGTTCAGAGTATATTCATTATTCTCAGCACAAGCTCTGTATTTTTATATTAATCCAGAAACGTCAGGGACTGCTGTAAAAATATAACGTGACGTAATAAAACATTATTTTAACCAGATTAGTGTTAGAAAACATCTCAACAACACACCCTTTTATCAGGTTCACCTTCACCTGAGGGGAAAAATAATTAAAGATATCAGACTCACGATTTGGACAACGTGGACAATGGAGACCAGACCTGCGTCCACCTGAAACACTCGATACTGTCTCTAACAGTGAGTCTCTCACGATCACTTCCCCATTCGCTCACACGAACAGCAGCTGTAAATAAGAAATACTTTCAGGGGGAAACGAAAGTTTGTTGTTTTACTTCCTCCCTGATGAGTGCCACTGTAACCTCTCTTAAAGGGACAGAGCACTTTCAATTCTCAGCGACACGGTTTCAAATACCTAGAACATTAAGTGCCATTTTCCACAATGGCTAAGTATATTCTATTAGAATATTACTCAAGTTAAAAAGTCTTGTATACAAATGTTCGCTTTATATATCAGCCTCCCTACATTTTCCCTGACAAAAGCACAGAAAAACACAAAAAATAGTCTATATATAAATATAAGCGCAAGAATTTAAAACAATAAAGCAAAAGACATAGCATTCATGCTAATGTTACTGCACACTACTGTAATAGCAATCTGTACTGATCCTGTCACCCACCTCCTACTGTTTGGTTTGTTGGTAATCATTAACCTCAGTGTATGCTAACATGCCGGTTCATGTTAGCAACGCTGTAAATAAAAAGTCACATGGGTTATGACTGTTGAGGCTAATATTTACTTCCCTATTTTTAGCTTACCGTTTTTAATGGAAAGGCGTTAGTCAAGACAACCTGAACAATACCGACAGCACCAATTATGTCATTAAAAACACTTTCTTATAAAGTTCTACGTGGTTTAATTGGTTAACGAATGAAAATGAAAACACAGCAGCTTCTCTGTGACAGACAGGAGGCTGCGGCACAGTGACGTCACAGTCATAATTAATGGTCCACTTACAAACAGCACAAGAGTCCACAGATATGAGGTTCGCGCTTCAAGTCTACAAGTCCAAGTTCCCACTACGACCCCAGTCCAAGTCTGGATCCAAAGTAAACTTAAAAAGCGATTTCTGTTGTTGTAGTTGTTTGTTTTACACCATAGTCACAGCAGGTATTAGGGGCGTGTTGGACTGGTGGTGCACTGTACTTGCATCTAACTGCTCTTACCGCCTCTAACCACAAGGTGTCACTTTTAAAGAGAAAAGCGAAAAAGGGGGAGAAAAAGGGGTATCACACAAAATATAAAATGAATATAAAAGGACAGTGGTGTGCATGTTTAACCGGCTGTACCTGCATGATATTTGTAATGACAACTGAATGGTGGCGACTGTCATAATTATCAGATTTTTGAGTGTAGATCATATGACCATAAGCAGAGACATTATTTTTTTCATGACCTGGTTCTTTGTTTTACTTGCAGCTGAGGAACTTGTTAGTGGGCAGGAACCAGTCTGAGACTTGATGCTTCTTTTCACTGAAAACAAACATGAGGACACAACATAAAGACTCACCGGACAAAGTCCACACCTGCCTAAGTCTACCACAGCCTTCTGCTGTTGGCTGTGTGAACTAACTTGCTGTTCACACCAAAGACCATAGACAAAACCAGAGATTTTAGCTCCCGCTCACAGAAGTTGATCCACTGGTGTATCTTTCAAAAAAACTGAAATGTGTTATTTTGTTATTTCAGTGTTTAAATTGAATGAAGATCATACATTTTGTTAAAGCGGCAGCTGTAGACTCGTGGTCTTTTTGGGTTAAAATGTTAATTCTCTCTATGGACTTTGGTGTTAGAGGTCAACTTCAGCAGTCGTGGACTTCAGTTGCAGAGCCTGGTTGGCAGCCATGTCCAGGTTTTATGTTTAGGTTATATCTTTGTAGTCAGTTTTCTGGTAACTGCTCTAGCACCACACTTTAGACTGAAGGTTAAACAGACCAGACTGATCTACAAAAATAAATGGACAGCTCCAGGATGCTTTAGGATACAGATGAGCAACTCAACAACGTTCCATGAGGTGCTCCAGTGTGAACTTCACCTTTGTCTGCAGTATTCTCAGTTTTCATTTCACTGTAACATTGACATTAAAACCTCCATCTTTTACTGCAGAGAAACCAGACATGCAAACCCAAGTGTCTACTATAATAACCCCCAGCCCTGTCCTTCATCGCTGTCTCTATCCACTGCCAGCAGCTGCTTTCCTCATCATCTCCTCGTCCTGAACCGACAGCTCTGTCAGTTTACGTCCCAACCTCTCATGGAGGTCCAGGTATTTGGCCACACAGCGGTCCAGGCAAACAGACTCCCCCTTTGTCAGCTCTGCTTCTTTATAATGAGGCGGTACACACTTCCTGTGGCAGGCATTGGTCATTCTGAGAGAAAAAATAAAGGTCAAGGGTCAGATTACTGGTCAACATTTTAAAGGATTCTTAAAGCAAGACCATTTCATTTCAACAGAGAAACATTTTAAAAACATCACATTTCACGTTCTGCAACATTGAACAGACTTATATGAGCAGCAAACTTCTTTGTATTTTAAAATGTGTATTTTTTCCAAAATATAAATGAGACATTAAAAAAACTAACCTAAATGATGAAAAAAAAGGAAAAAATACTCAAATGCATTTTATTAAGCATAAGTTAGTGAGGCATTAACTGTTCTCTGATTTAAACATTTTAATATTACCTTATGTGTCTTTTTGAAGATAAAATATTATTTCAAGGACTTTTAGAGGATCTTCCCCCTGAGAGCCCACACCATCCAGTATGTCCCAACAGTATGGTCACCATTCATGGGTCAGTTTGAAAATTAGTCAGCACAATAAACCCGAGCATAAACATTCGTTATATTGTGATGGACTAATCATTAATCGGTCATTGTAGCTTTAAACCGCTATTCAATTCTAGCGGTTTGGCTCTAGGTGAATTACTTCCGGTTCATTTCTGGGGCTTCAATTTAACACTTCTTACATTACGACTGAATAGAACTACAGCTACGATTTCATTCAAATACAACAATAAGCTTCAATATCTTAAAAATAAAAAAGCCAAACGTGTGGCGACAAAGGAAAAGTCACATACAGTACATTTTGAAATAGGTTTTCAACAGGAGCTAACAGCATTCATATCAAGCAATTACTCAACAGTCGAATAGACCTTCAGTTAAGATCGAAAAGAGGCTACAACACCACCTACTTCATCTGCACCACACCAACAAAAATAAAGTATCCGTATCTTTAAGATACTCGAGTGTTTTAAGGTTTTTACCGGTTGTACATGTCAGCCATCATCTCCACTTCCAGCTCCGCCGCAAGCTGCTGTGCTTTCATGGGATCCATGTCCACCGATGCTGCCTCACACGCTTTACGCTCTGGAGATCTTCTGCCACGGACAGATAGTCTGATTCATACACGCTGTCCTCAATATCAACGATGGCTCTGCTGCTGCTGTTACTGCTGCTGCTGCTGTAACCTTCAAAACACGTGTGTACGGTTTCCACAAGCACTTCCGCTCTCAAGATGACTAGAGCCAAACCGGGAGAGGAGAAAAAAAGTACGACCTCTGGTGGAGGGATCACTCCACTGTGATGTTAACAAGTTGATAGGAATTTGTCTTTTAAAAGAAATCAAGCCTTACAATTACAGTAATAATATCTAACAACCCTGTCGACTTTTCAAAGGTACAATCAAATACCCTATTGGCCAAACCATGGACCACACATTCCTTTTAATTGGCAGTCGGCTTCATTTACTGCGATTCTTACTGCCTTTTCCTGGTCATAATTGAACCTACATACTTCTTTAATTAAAAGTTCAATAAACTTTGACAATAAAAGACTATTTAGTCCAGCCTGAGGGGCACTACTGGGCTGAATCCCACATTAGAGGAGAGTGAAGAAAAACTTGGATGAAAGTGTTTTTTAAACAAACAAATTTTGTATATTTTTAATTAAAAATCCAACATAGAAATGCAATGGGTTTTTTTTTTTTACCTCTTCAATGATGTTAACCATTTTTAGTCTTACCGTTTTAAGTGCATTACACACTCCATCTATGTGACAAACTGATGAACAAAACATTCAGAAGATTTTTAAATTGGTCTGTTGAACTCATGAAGTGAGAAGACTGTGTGATCATAGAAAGCAACCTTTGTTAACTAATAGAACAAAACACGGAGAACATAAGAGTACCGCAGTCGTAGCCATCAGTCTGTGTCGTCTCCAGTCACATCAACCTCGTCCACATCCACGTCTTCCTCTTCATCTGGAACAATGTCACTGCTGAGAAGTTGTTCCTCTCTGCTCTGCACTCTGACTGGAGAAAAAGTCAGTACATCCACTTCCTCCTCCTCCTTGTTCTCCTCTATCAACACCATCTCCTCCACCACCACCATCTCCTCCTCCACACTGCTCGGAGACCTTCTGACCCCAGCAGGCTGCGGTCTGTCGTCGTCCTGACCCTTCTGTACTGTGTCACTGATGGTGTCTGGTACAAAGTATAAATCTATGAATTAATTAGGTGAAGTACATTAATACAAGAATTATTTTTAACGACTTACTATTCAAAAAAAATAATTAACTTGTTTTACACCCAGAGTTTACATAAAGAAGACAACAGTTCAGGGTTTACCTGTTGATTCTGTGGAAGAAAAGAGATCTGATACCAAGTCATTAAGGATAATGAAAAGCCAAATCTTTACTGTGATCATTTGGTTGCAGCTCCATCGCCGTTTTCATCCTGGTCGTTACTGAAGGGTCGTCACCATGACAACCATCTCTGTCCTCCTGTCGTGATCTTCTCTTCTTGATGTCTGACTGGTCCAAAGTCCGATTGTGATTTTCATCCAGTGCTGTACTGGAGCCTTTTCTCCTCTTCTCAGTCTCGGCAGCATCTTCATGACCCGGCTGCAGCCTCACAGGTGATCCGTTAAAAGTCACGTCTGTTCTCATCGTCTCTTCGGTGTCGGCATGTCTTTTTGTGTGGTTCGATTTCTGTTTTTCCTTTGAATTCCTTGTTTTTGAGTGTTGCATTTTTATGAATTTTTTAAACTCCTTCAGTATGGAAGTCCGGGAGCGATGTGTGTTCCTGTGTTTTCTGACCTCTGGGGTGTTTACCTCGGCACAAATATCAGACTTGTCACTTCTCTCAGTAGGGACATATTTTTCTGAGGCCACTGCAACCACAGGTACATCTTTGTTTGAGGTGTCACTTGGTTTTTGAGTTATTTTCAAATAATTCCTGGTTCTGATCCGACGCTGCTCCACAGTCACCACAGAACGTCTGGTCTTCTGTGTACAGTTGGCAGTTTTTCTGGTTCTTTTCGGCACATTGTTGTTGGACAAACTGACTTCACCTTTGACCAAGATTTGTTCGTTTTGTGACAAATCACATGCTTTCACACTAGTGCCGCCATCTGGTGGATGAGTCTTGGCATTAGCCTTCCTTCTTTTAGGTGCCACTGCTACATTCTGAACCTGATGTCTTTTAGTCTTCTTTGATTCAGGTCTTTCCTCTGGATGAGCAGATGTTGGGGTCGTTGTGACCATCGTCCAAGGAAACTGCCCTGACGCAGGTTTTTCTCTCAGCCAGTCGTGTTTCAGCAGAGTGGGTGGATTTCTGAACGTGGTACACAGAGGTACAGGAGAGAGACATGGGGGGAGCCTCATGTCAGCCATACAGAGTAAAGACAGATTATGAAGAGACTCTGTCTGCTTCCCATTCATTAAAGGCAAGAATTCAATGTTGTGCTGAAGAGAACCTGAGAACCCTGGGAATTCTGGGTAACATGTTTCCTGTACAGCTGAAGGGAAAGTTGAGGGAAGGACAGGTCTGGGTGTTGGTTTATCTGGACATAAAAATAGGTTTGATTTGTCTGAAGACGTAACCTGTCGACTCAACCCATTTATTTTCCACAAGGATTTTACGGAGGACTGATCCTGCTGCTGCTGCAGAGTATGATGATCATGCTGCTGCTGCATCATCGTGGCTTCTGATAGAACAGATGAAAGTCCTGGACAGGGAGGCAGGTTTTCTTCTGTAGAACCAGACTGGACACCTGTAAACAAATAGAACAATCTTAAACTTAAAGAGTTGACATGAAAACCTGTTGGATTTACAGTAAAACTTCTCATGTGAATAATCCAAGGTCTAATGTGAATTAATCACAGCAGGAAGATGTTTGTGTCAGGTTTTTTATCTTAATGTGACTGACATCTCATCTACTGTAAAAACAGCTTCTTTATACCTGTTTCTGTGAATGTGTTGTAAGTTCCTGTTCCTGATTCCTGGGTAAAGTGTTCACTTCCTGCACCAACAGGTCCCAGTGTTTGACTGGGTCCCAGGTCTTGGCAAATGCTTGGTTGACCATGATAATGAATTGAGGGGTTTTCTTCCAAGTCAGGCAGGAAGTGGAGGCTCATCATGATGTCCTCCAGCAGCTTCTCCTGCTCATCCGACTCCTCCACACAGTCCTGACTTTGGAGCAGGGGTGAGGCCTCCCTGGCTGTGCTCTGGTCTGGTGTGAGGGGGGCCCTGGAGGTCTCCTGGGAGTCAGAGGATGTGGGGAAATTGTTGGTAGAACACTGACTAGAACCAGAACACTGAGAGTCCATAATCTGTTCTGGGCTGGTGTGGGCTATGGGGGTCAAGGACTGGACACCGGAAGAGTCTGGGGGGTTGAGGTCCGAGAGTAAGACATCAACAGAGGGAGTCTGGGGGTGAGATTCTTGCAAAGACTTAGGATACGGGTATTGCAGCACCATTGATGGGTCAGTTGAGGAAGAGGATTTGACCTCAGTGAGGTCAGTGTTTAGACCACCCGGGTTGAGTCCATCCTACAGACAGAAGAGGAGACCAGCTGGAGAAAAACTCACTCCAACATAGTATTTACATCTTGTGTTGTTTTTATGAAAATAAAAAAAAGGAAGGCATTCATCTCTCTGTATTGACTCAACTTAAACCGACATGTAGTGAAAGCAGAACTGCAGGTTCTTATGTCGGCTTTACGTAACTGAAAGAACTGAAGGTGGACTCAACTGTGTCTCGTGTTTGCACCACCTCCCAGGATTCATGTTTGGTCTTCATCGTCCGTCTCAGCTTCACCTTTAGGAGAAGAAAAGACAAAAAGGTGAAAGTGCAAAGCTGAAGAGAAGACGTTTCTACACACCTGTCACCCACATCTATTTGACTTCCTGTCTCTGTCTCCTTGTTCTATACGGTTGCTCGTTTTTTGTTTAGAGCTGTGGGCCACAGATAATCATGACATCATCATGACAGCTCAGTGTCCAAATGTGTCTAAAACTTCTCACCTTGACTGCAGACTCAATGGTCTGTGATCGTTTGAGGTTCATCCTAACACCAACATCAGACATGTCTGTTTCCTCTCCCCAACTTAGATCTTCCTGTGTTTGTTGACCTCTGTCTCCCGACGTCTCTAGATTTCTTCCTCCAATCTCCACTTCTGTTCCATCTTCGTCCAAATCACATGAACAGTTGATGACAGAAGGAAGATGACAGAAGTTGTCTTTCTGGTCACTTGAACTGCCCATGGTGCTGCTGAGGGAAACACTGATGGTTGGGTGACCCAGTGACCCCTGACCTGAGGTGGGATTTGTTTCAGTTGTGTGTGTTGGAGTTTCTGCTGTTGTGGTGTGTGTGTTGGGGTGGACACAGCTCCAGTTTGAGGAGATCATTTCATCACTTGTTAAGGGTTGAGACTGTAGCCCAGCTGAAAGATCTGATCTGTGGTCCAGACGTGGCTCAGTCTGAACTTGTACTGTCCGTCTGTCTTCTGAGTGAAATTCATTCAGTCGTAATAAAGAACAGTCCCCTTCCCTTATTGGTCCATCTCTTTGTCCTTCCTCCAGTCCTGTAATCCCAAAACGTCGGGCTAAGGCCAGAACATCCTCTTGCTCGATGCTGCCTCTAACACACATGGCTCCAGAATACAACAGAGCGACCAGTTTCAACAGGGGCTTCGCCTTCACAGCGTGGAGCCTGAGATGATACTTCTGGCCAGGAGGAGGAGACGGGGAGGCTGACAGCTTCTCAGACAGATAGGGGCTGAGAGCTGCCAGGACACAGCTGTGGGTGGGTATGGAGATACCTGTCACAGAAACAACATTCAAATATCAAGAAGCCTTCATTGGTCACTAAATCACTAGGTTGCCGTTCTCCTTGTGTACCACAACCACCAATCAGTCAAAACAGTACTGCTTAAGTTCTTGTAAGTGAGTGTAACAAGGGTAGGACCATTATGACTAAAGGACTGGGTCAAAATTTGTATTTCAGCCTCACCTTCGGTTTGTAACAGAGTGTCACAGAACTGGACGTTGTTTTGTTGCCTCTGCAGCTCAACCAGAAGGTGCTTCTCAAAACCCGGCCACCAGTACCTCTGCATGGCCACAAGGGGGCTGAAAGAGGGCAGGAGAGAAGTGGAAGATAACTCACAGAGTTAAAGACACTTGACAAATCAGACAAGTCCGTAGTATTTTAACAAATTAAGTGAAAAGTGAGTGCATGCATATCAACATTTACATTACCAAACGTTTTTCCTTCTGATAAGTCAGACTAAATGAAAATATCAATTTACAGATTAAAAAAAAAAAAAGAATTTATTATGCCATAAGTTAATTCACACGATTAAAATTAAAACATTTCAAAAAGTAATTTTTCCAGATAACTGTTAGCTGGAAAAATCCATATTTGCGAGTTCGAGTAATTTTCCCCCTAATTTAGACGCTTACTAGCAGCTGGCAAACAAGCAGCTAACAGGCTAAAATAAAGCAAACACAGGGGAACGTTTGATTTTAAAACATCGTCATACAATAAACAATCGTGCAGGTTTTTATTGGGTACATAACAGAACTCATCTAAACTATTTTATTTGCCTTATCTCAAACGCTAAGGCTAAAACTGTGCTAATTAGGTCGAAACCCATAAGTTCCACTGATACATTTTAAAAAATTAAATGAAGTAAAACTTACCAGTATGTTTGTGTTCACAGGGCGTAGGGCTGATAAATATCACAAAGATATAGAAGTGTTTATCACAACAATAAACATCACAGAAATCAACCGTAACCTGTTCCCACGTGTTTTCCTCCTGAAAGGTGAAATTACGAGACCATAACTGATAGTGACATCTAGCGGCGGTTAGTGTCATGGAACTGGAAGTCATCAGGACATCAAGCAAAAGAAAACTGGACAAGATTCTGAGAAATTATTTTCTTTTTATTAAAAACAGTATTGCTAGTTATGTAATTTTAATCATAAATGAGAATGTGCAACTTTTTAAGAGCCAAGGCAAAAAGATTAAGGTGTTTAGTCCAGAATCAGACAGTTTTTTCTCCATTAATGTTCCAGTATCAGATGACTCCTGGCGGAGGTGGATTTTTTTTTTTCTAAACCAACTCGTTTTGCATGTATTTAACACATATACTGAATGTTTTTAATCTAAAACACAAAATAAACTGATTGCATACGTGTTCACCCAGAGTCCCCAAAACAATTAGACCCAAATTAGAATATCACAAAAAGAAGAAAATATATAAAAACAAATCATTAAAATTAACAAATATTTTCTTGTATATATAGTTTTAATGTGCTTTCATTTATTTATTTATTATCTTTTTTTAAATCATTTTTAATATCAAATTCTGGTCTATGCCTCCTGGCATATGTTTCCTACCACCTTCACTCCTCCACTCTCGTCAGCCCACTCTTGAAGGCAACTTTTGAGAAACGTTTTTTCTCTGTTTTAACTTTGTATGAAATGAAAATGTTTAAATAAAAAAGAAAATGGGATTCTGGAGCGAGGGGAGGAGGAGAGAAGGGCGCTAACCTACCCTGCCCAGTGCTTGTTTTAATAATAATGTTCTCTACACTGAGAATGTGTGACAACACTGCATGGTGTCCCACACTCTCCTGCAGGTCTCTGGGGGTGTTCAAACCTGTGGAGCTGCATTTTTAATGGTAAACTAAAGATTGTTACACCGACCTTTTGGTCAGATAGTGTCTGCTACTACTACATTCACGGCTAACAGTATTTTTAGAAGATAACTGGATCCATTTTTTTTTTAATTGGTGCATGTTCAGTGGATACCATCGAGGAGGAGGACTGATGGGGGAGTTTCTCCCAGGTTTGTCTTTTACTAAAGCAAACATGACAAGTGTGAACACACCCTGTAAGTCAGGCCAAATGTGAAGTTTGGTAAAACACTGGATTGTTAAAGAAGCTTTTTATCACATAGAAAATATTTCTGCTGCCACAATTCACCTCTGTTTACAAGTTCACGGTCCCCCACTATTTTGCTTAATAGAAAACCACTGAGTTCTATAGACGGTATTATATTTTAGACAAATCCTGCTGAGAATGACTGGTGACTAGGATCACTGAACAACCAATCAGAGTGAGGCACTCCATTTAGCCCACTGCTTCTTGTTTGTATTAAAGGTTTACAGATTTTGGAGTGGAAGAAGGCGGGAACTGGGAACACAATGAAACTGCCCCCAAAATATGAAAAAAGAGAACGAGACTAAGACCTTAAAGAAAGGAAGAAAGCAAAAGAGAGAGAGGAAGAGAGAGAGAGCACAGAGTGAACTGTTATTTTCCACAGGGGGAGAATTAATTTTCTGCTACTCAGTTCTCAGTTATATCTACAGATCACAGTCAAATACAGGATGAAAACCCAAGACAAGTTTCAGTTGAGCTGCTGTTAGGAAAAAAGATGTGTTCGTGTTTGTAGGTCTTTCATCGAGTATTGGCAGTCGCAGCGTTAGCAGTGTCTTTTGGCACATGTGCATCACTGTGATACTAAGCAGAGCAGAACAAAAAGAGCAGCAACCACAACCAACACAGAAGCAGAAGGTTAAGACAGATCTGAATTACTTTTAAAGATAGTGTCTTTGTAGAAGCCAGAGACACAGCGAGAGAGAAAGGAAGAGAGAGAAAAAGCAGAGTATTAGCATTTATGTAAAAATTCACCATAGTGTCAGTTTCTGATCGTAGTCTCATTTGTCTATAGCAATGAATTAAAAAGTCCTCAGATGATGTTTCTGCCTCTTCTTCAGCAGATCACCCAGAAAAGTCCTACAGTTGTTGTAGTTGTAGAGATGTATTGTTTTTTACCACAGTGTCAAAATGAATGGTTAGGGAATAAAGTGGTCATAGTATCACATCCTGATGTCCAGATCCAGCCCAGGTTTTCCATGTGGTTGAATTAGTGTGTGAGTGTCAGTGGAGGAATGTCACAGAGAAATACAGGATCAGAGAAGGAGCGAGGAGGAGGAGCAGGAGGGACAGGAGAGTTGAGTGTGAAAGGATGAAGTTCATCCTGTCTAGTGTACTGATGCCCCCCCAAGTGTCACTTTAACAAGGGCAGTAGGTGGGAGGAGGCTGTCGTCTGGTAATGCACACAATCAGTTTTTCTGCAAGAGAAGAAGAACTCATTTACGTCTGTGAACATGGGCACCGGCAAAACAACAAACAAGTTGAAGACAGACGTGAAACACCGAGTGGCCGCAGGCAACAACGTTAGCACGGAGACAAAATACAACACAAAACAGAGAGAGATAAGAAGAAAAAAAAACATCTTACAAGAAACAACGTTTTTACCAGAAGGGGGAGTAAAAGCATCCGTAAACGAGTACGACAGAAACTGACACTGACAACAGTGATCGAGGTTAGACCTGGACTTTGTACACAACTAGCACACAACACAGTATAGTAGACAGGAGGCCATACAGTGAGGAGCAGCCGGGGAGGAACACACACACATACCATGCTCTGACATGCAGTGTGACAGTGGGAGTGGCCTAACCATCGTAAGAATCCACTAGAGGCAAAGAGGTCTGCCTCTCACCGTACTTCCCTCCCTGAAAGTGAGAGAGAGAGAGAGAGAGAGAGAGAGAGAGAGAGAGAGATGGTATGGTATGGAGGGTATCCATAGATGCAGGGAGACAAATGCAGAGAGAAGGGAAACAAGAAGTTGTGTAATGAATAAAGGGAACGGTGCAGGAAGAGAGAAAGTAAAACAGGGGCGAGAGAGCAGTGTGTGAGATTAAAATGGGTGAAGTAAAAAAAGACAATGAGAGGTAGAGGAACAGAGACAGAAGAGAGGGGGGAAGAATGTGTGAGTTTTAAAGGACCAGTACAAACAGAATCAAGGTGACAGAGAGAAAGAGATAAAAGAAAAACAGAGGGGTGGAATTATTAGGAGAGAGAGGGGTGTGTGAGATTAAAAAGATAAATGTATAAGTGAAAATGCAAAACAGAAAAGAATGAGAGAGATAGAGTGAGGGAGGGAGAGAGAATATGGGGAAGAGGCAGAAGTGTGTGATGAAGAGACAACAGAGATGGTGATGGAGGGGGAAAGGGTGCAAGCAGTGGGTGGGTTGTACAGAGAGAGAGAGAGAGAGGAAGAGGTGTGTGTGTGTGTGTGTGTGTGTGTGTATGACAGAGAGCAACATCATCAGAAAGACAGAAAGGAAAGGACAAAGCGTAACATGGGAGGAACAGAGAGAGAGGTTTATAAAATAAAAAGTTAAAAAGTTGGAATGAAGGATCAGAAGGACAGGAAGAGGAAAAGAAACGTCAGACAGAAAAAGACAGAAGTGCGAGAGCAGTTAGTTCACTGTTAGAAAAGTTATCAAAAACACACACACACCACAGTGCTGTTAATGAGACATGCAGCAACATGCCGTCTGTGTGAGACACTGTCCTTTCACACCACAGGACTGGAAACCAGGACATTTGTCAGACAGAACATATATTTAGAAGAATAACCAGAACCTTTTTATTGTGAAACCCACTTTTTCTAAGATCACAGAAACATCACAACCTAATTCACTGTAGAAGAAAAAGCTGTGCGACGACCTAGGGTCACTTTTCACTGAACAATTGATGTTGTTGTAAGAAGAAATGTGTTTCATTAAAGTGTGTCCCAGTTCCAACATCAGATGTGTTTTTCTTTATCTGGAGTTTCTTCATCAAGTTAAAATTACAACAGGAAGTGGCAGAACAAGACAACTACGAAAAAGTGTGATTTATTGTCCGAAAGGATAAAGTTTATTCTGCTGCCAGGAATTTGACTTTAAATTAAAATAATAAAGGGCCATGTCGGAAAAACACCAACATGGGGGAAAAAGTTACACAAAACAACAGGCTGGAAAACTTTATTTTGTCATCTCATTCACCTCCTGGTCTCTGCCTGAACTTCCTCATTAATGGGAAAAATGATGAACAGGAAATGACATCATCATCATTTTCTGGACTCCTGTCATCATTCTTTCTGATGATGCCATGTTAAACACACTGACAGGATTACGTGGAGTCTTTTTCTGTCAGGAAGTGAGTCACTTCTACTACCTATAAGTTGCAGTCATGTAGGTTCATGAGGATGAGAGGGTGTGTGTGTGTGTGTGTATGTGTGTGTGTGTGTGTGTGTGTGTACTTACCTGTACTGCATCTTTGTCAGCAGGTTCGAGTGTGTTGTCCAGCGTGTTCCTTCGTCCACTCTGGTCTAGTGTGGAGTAGGCATCTAGAAAACAAGAGTTTGACAGTGTGTGTGTGTGTGTCTTTAATCCCTGTCTGTGTCTGTGAGGTGACAGGTTTACCTGGTCCTAAGTCATTCATTGGAATCATCTCCCGCTCTGATTTGCCACCTGAGCATCAGAGAAAGAATGTTAGGAATTCAACAAATGTGTGTGTTTTCAGAAAGTTACAGTTCAAGTTACACAGATGCTTCAAACTGTCATAGTGACACCTTCTTCATTTGACCTGCTGACCTTTGTCTATGAGCGGCAGAGTGCTGTCCTCATATCCTCCGTTGGACCTGGTGTTGTTGGTGGGAGGGTTCAGGTTAACCATGAAGTCCGTCTTCTTCCAACCGTCCTTCTCCAAAGTGCGCCTCAGCTCCTTGTAGCCCCAGACGGTCTGCAGCACCACACCAGCGCCGCGGACCTCCCGGTCCGAGCGGTTACTGAGGAACAAGAGGGATCTTTTTGATTAACTGCTAAGATGTGGATTAATGAACATCATGAGTAGGGATATTAACCTTCCCAGCGACTTTGTTGGAACCATCCTTACCCTTCCTTGTTGATCAGCACCAGTCTTTCGATGCCCTGTGAGGCTGTGAGGGACTTGGCTGCGTCCAGACTGGAGCCCAGCACTTCATGAAGAGTGCTCAGTACTGACACCACCGTGTCTTCTGACAGGGCCCGCACTGGCTGACTCTGACCACCACCAGGTAAGTTGGCCACCAGGTGAGGCACAGCGTGTTTACCTGACAACGGAAGACACAGAAAACAAGACAAAGTCACAAACTGCCCTCATCGTGGAGCTGCTCAAAACATGTTTATAGAGTTTTGATGAACTTTATTTAATAAATCCCTGTCAGTAAGTTAGTCCAACAACATAATCCTAGTCCATTATAGTTCAGAGCAAACACAGAACGTACACAGTAATAAAATATCAATGTTTGATACTCGGCTCTTTTTTTTTTCTTAAATAGTCGTGACTTGGTGGTTAAATGGTACACACACTTTTTAAAACACGACCCCCAGAACACACAGAACACACAGGCAGATTTGTCACAGATGTGCATGTGAACATATCATTCAGAACCTAAACCTGTCAGAGAGCCAGTGATCACTTCATCACTGATGAGGTTGAGATGAACACCCTAACCCTCACCTAGGAGATCTCTGTTACGTGCATCGATGGCCAGGTTGCGCAGCGCTCCAGACATAGCCCGGACCACGCGGTCGTTACCATGAGCCAGCAGCTCAGTCATCATGGGGAGACCTTTCTCCTGGCGCAGCAGGGCACGTATGTATCGTCCATACTGAAGAACACACACAGACAACGTCATTTAACAAACTAACAGTCATGAGTAGCTTCTTAATCAGGTCTCAGCTGCATTCCATCAATCACACACTGGTGCAATGTTGCTAGACTAGACTGTGTACTTTTAGACTTAAACACACACAAGAATTAGTTGTTTGTACAACCATCACATGTAACAACAACAACACTTATTACGTAACACAGAAACTAGAAAGTTTGTTCCAAAATGTATAGTGTGTTACAAGAGAAAAACATTTGGTATTATTATACATCAATGGACCAGATCAATCTGGTGGTACAGACTGTTACCAGTGACAATAGCTGTAGAGACAGAGCTAAAGGTCAGAGAGAGAGAGAGACAGAGAGAGGGAGACTATCATTGTTCTGATCTAAACTCGACAGACGTCTGGTTGGTCATAATCTGTCAACAGAGCGGTTTATTGACGTGAACACTGCAGTGACATCACAGGCAGCTCCAGGAAAGAGGTTCTGCTAACTCCATGTCTAACAGTTGCTGCTACCACGCAATTCAAACTGCAGTGTTTATTTGATGCTCACTTTCAAACCAACTACCCACTGCTCTTTTACTACTATATGTATACATATAGGACACAACAGCAGCAGTGATTCTCTGCTTCTGTTGTTCTCACACACTGACCTGTCTGTCAACTGCAGTCAGAGGAAACTGACCACATCAGTGGCTTCTTTCAACATCTATAAAGCTTCTACTGCAACAACAAGTTAAAAAACAACTGGGCTGTGGTGCTAAACCTCTGATTCTTTGTTGCTTTATTTTTAACAGTCTGGAAACAACAGTTTTTGAACAGACAGAGTTGGGAAACGAAAGAGAGCGGGAGGTTCTTACAGTCCAACGGCCAGCGCACAGGTTCTGAACAGCTCCGGCTGAAGCTTCCAGGACTGTAGGGTTCTTGGACTCCTTCAGCAGAGAGGTGTAGATACGCACCACCTCCGGCTGGTACAACAACTCATAACCTGTACAAAGAACAAGTAGTAAAGAAATGTCAATATGTGGACACGGTACTGATGGCCAGGATGTTGTATCACTGTCGAATGGTTACCTTTAGCAGGCGTGGTCCTTTTTGGAATGTCTATTACATCTGTAACCGCGTCCTCATCCTTTTTACCTGGGGACAGAAGCAGACAAGTGGTTAAAAAAACACATAGATGATTTAAACATTCAAACATTTGTTTTGAAGAACTGCAGCTACTGTTTGGTTAGATGTAACGTGTGGTCAAAGGTCAAACAGAAACTGGCCAAATTTAAGATGCAGTTTGCTACCACTCTATAATGGTGAGATAAGGACGTGCATGTTAGTACCACGACAAGCCTTCTCTACAGTGTTAGCTCAGCTGCACCTACTCTACTACTACTAAAACACAGAGAGCAGAGCTGAGGAGTGTGAGCCAAGTGCAGTCATACCGAGGTAAAGAGCTTACCTTTGGAAAACCACTCATCTGTCGCCCAGCGCAGAAAAAGAGGAGGAACATGGAGAAGACGAAGAAAAAAATCAGCGGGGAACAGGCGGCAGAACAGGAGGAAGAGAGAGCAGTTATACAAAAGAGAAGGCAGCCGCAACTGAGGAAACACTGTCAACACCTGACTGTGTCACTGATTCCACCACATGTCAGGTACGAAGGAAGACTACAGCACAGCACAGAACAGTTGATACGGTTTCATATTGACATACAGTAGATCATCAGTGCACCCAGTCACATGTCAAATCAAAACAACATCAGGCTGATGAGTGAAAATGAGAGAAACCACTACCAATAGGTGAAACTGAGGGGAAATCCTGTCACAAATCCAGCACAGTATTGGTTAAATGAGGAATGAAATCATCAAATTTTACAATTTTATTTGATTGACAGATCTCATTGAAACGAGAGCCCAGAAGGTGGGCCTTGACAAAACACTGTGTAACAAATGTGGCAGTTATGAACATGAGTTTAGCCAAGTCATAATCACTCTGAATACATCGATGATTGACAATATTAGAAATACTAGAAATACATCAAATCCCACCATTCACCAGTAGGGTGAGCACTGCCTGCCGAGTTTGTTCATTTGTTCTTTCTTTCTCTCTTCTCGTGATTTCTTTTTACAATAAATGATTGTAGTTAGAGATAAGGCTGCAAAATGATTTAATCATTTACGTGTACTGCCAGCAGAGGCAAAGACAATAAACAAATCAATACTCGCAGTGAAACACCAAAAACCCTCAGGGAGCGGAAGTCTGATACAGGTCAGTGAAACTGCTCCCATTTTTATTTGTGTAAGCGTGTGATAATCCTGTGTGTGTGTGTGTGTATCAGTGATAGGACTGACAGTGGTGACATCACAGCATTCATGAAACACTCAGCCACTGACTGAACAAATACAACACAAACAGCTCACGCACTTACTGACCTTTGCCCTTGCGAGAGCTAAAGCAGCCGCCCTTTTGGCTTGAAGGGGCGGGTCCCTGGTTGATGGGCACAGACTCCTGGTATCGTTCACAGCCGGGGATTTCGCGGTGCACATGATAGGACAAGTTCCTCAACAGGCACACACTGTTCTCTATTAACTAGAGATGGAACCCAGGAGAATGAAAAAAAAAAAAAACACAAAATGTGGAAATATTTTTCAATTTTTATAGGTTGACATCAAGGATATTTATTGAAATTTAAAGAACACAATCATTCAGAAAAAAATGCAACGTGCAATGTTTTCTGTAAGATAAAGTTGTTGCTGTTATAGTTAATGGTTCATTCTTATGGATCATCCATCAGGAGAGAGTAATTCAATTCTCCAAATACCTTGTTGTCGACATCTTTACAGTCAATCTGCGACTGGACAATGTACATGAGAGAATCGACCAATCCTGTGCATTCCCTCAGCTTCCTCCTCGCCTCACTTCGCTCTGAACTCACATTTCTGGAGTAAAAAAAAAAAAAACAAATTAGCGTTTTATTGCAGAGGGCTAGAGAAAAACACAATGCAACAAAGGGAATTCCAGCACAGTGATTTAGACAAGAGGTTCATGTGAAAGAAACACCGTTTAAAGGCAGTGCTTTCACAGAGAGTGTTCACGTTGACAGATTGAGTTACAGCTCAGGACCTGTTTCTTCAGCCTCTCTGTGATTAAGTCCCACCGGAGGATGTCTCAGGATTGGATGGGTGGAGCCTCTCTGTGATTAAGTCCCACTGGAGGATGTCTCAGGATTGGATGGGTGGAAAACCAAAACCATTTTGTTGTTCATGCACCGATGCACAGTGCAGCATAGAGGAGAAGGTTTTGAAGGAGAAAACTTTGAGGAGTGACTGAATTGAACCTTGGCCTTTTGTGCCGCTCTGTCGTTCTTCTCAGTAACGGACACGCCCTCTCACAGAATAACTGCACACATTCCTCTTCACAGCAGGGGGCAGGGATTTGACAACAGTTTATTAAGATATCACAGTTCCTTCCACTTCCTTCACTACAGTAGAGCTGGAGTCCTTCACTCATCTACTTCAACCCAAACAGTTTCAAGTCCTTCTTTGTCTTAGAATCTGTTTATGGGACGCTCACCTTCTCTTCATGGCAGCAGCAATTTCCACTTACATCGTAGAAGAAATCACCCTTCAAAATATATGTACCATCTCAACAATGCCTCTTCAGCTTTATCACCAAACTGCTTAGCGTTAGCCGTCACCTCTGATGAGCTCAGGTCTATTTCTGTCACCTCTAATAAGTGATTTTACAGACGCACAGCATTTATTAACACATGTCGAATGTGTTAAATGAGAAGGTTCTCAGACCAAATCTTCCTGGCAGCATGCCTCATGACTCTGGTACTGTTGTTCTGACACTGTATTGACAGGTTAAATATTTCAGACAAGAAGCCTCACGTAAAAGAGAGCAAAAGTCACATGAGCAGTTTTGAACGACCTCTATGGTCAAAAAGCATGACATGACGTAAAGCTACAGTGTCTAGTCACTGCCAGCTGATATTCTACAGATGCCTGAAGCAAATCCAAAGCTTCTGAGTCTGTGAGATTAGAAAGGTATTCATCTCATACTTCTCTTCAACCACAAGTGAAAGCTGTAATTAACCGAGTGGTCAGAAGGAATGCACAGATAACAAACAGGGACTTGAACTTTCTGTTTACACTGTTCAAGTCAATGCCCCACTGTCCACTGCTCAACCATTCACTGTAAATTCCAACGCTGGTCTTTAACTGTTTCTTTCAGTCTTGGTGCTATACTTCCAAAACACTACATTGATGTTGTGAATGTTTTTTGACTACAGAGGGTGCGGGTGTCGTGGGTGGGTGTATACGGGTCAATGACAGGACATGCATATTTCTGTGTCTGAGTCTATTTTCTTTTTATTTATGTAATTTAATCTATTTATGATATATATATAAAATCTATGGAGGCTATTTATCTATTTCTGTATGCTAACGACACTAACTACACTCTGAAACTGACTTTCTTTTTAAGAAATCTGGGTAGTTGACTGCACCTGTACAGGCAGGGCAGAGAGTTCGTTACTTTTTCATTTGTCGACTGTAACCAATGAATATGATCTCATGACTTTTGCCTTTTTTGCTTTAAATACCTGGGCTGCAAAAAGTGCGCAAATAGTCAATATATAATAAATATATTCAACTGCATAAAAAATTTGCAACACTGTATTTTACAACAGGTATGTGTTGTATTTTCAAGGCGTTATAATGGTCAGAAACACTCGTCTCATGACCATGTGCTTGTCTATCCTCCCATTAAAAGAACAGCATTGAGTGTGTCCTGCTCTTCTGCTCTGCTAACTCTTCCTTACACCTCCCACAGTCATTTCTGTCTGCTGCTCTGGCATCTGTTGGCTCTCCTGGCCAACATTCATCTGAACTACTTCCTCCTGTTTCCAACCACGGTGAACAGCTGTGATCTGCCTCCATTAATCAACCCTTCCACCCGGGCCTCTCCATCCGTTCCTCCTCACCTCAGGCAGCCTGCTGTGTTGGTGAGGGCCGTCTCCCACTCCAGGTGTCTGGGTTTGCAGTTCTCCTCGCCGCCTCCTGCTCCGTTGCTCCCCTGCTCCCAGCCTGAATGTGGAACCATCACCTCATCTGAGAGGGCGTGCAATGCGTGGTCGACTATTTCCATTTTAACAGAGTCATGAGAAGACAAGTTCCACAGTGTCCCTGAGGAAGAAAATGATAATAGTTGTCTTTTAATCATTAGAGGGGAGTTCTAATCAGATCATTTATTTCACTATTAATCAACTGTCTATGTTTTCCAATTAGAATAGTGCTGCAGAAAGTATCTCAACAGCCAGTGTGTCTTGCTTAAGAATTATTAAAGTTCAATCACAATGGCCAAGACAATTAAAGTCTAAAGTTCAATAGCCTGTAATTAACCAACTTAAAGAAATACTGTGATGCTAAAAGTTTACCAAATATTTACATCATCCAATAGGTCTCTGACCTGTGATGGTGTCAGTGAGGTCCTGGTCTCGGGTCTTTCTCAAAAGTCTGATCAGAGCTGGAACTCCGTCACAGTTCTTGATGGCAATCTTGTTGTCAGGGTCTTTACCATAAGAAATGTTTTTCAGTGCTCCACAGGCCGCATAGTGAACCTATAATGGAGGAGCAGTGAAGGTTTAATAAACCATCAGTCATGATAACCACACGTGTATTGATTTATCACAGCAGTACAAAACAACGGCGCCCGGTCTTGGCTGCGCAATACATGGACATTTCTAACATATTTTCATTAAAAGCCCAAGTAATTCAAGCAGTAGTGTTAGTAGTGTAACATCCTATAATCACAGGTCTATAGAAGTACTAAAAAATGAGAGAGACGATGCAGGGGAAGTGTCCGACTCTTTCTCCTTCGTTCTCCTTCAGTCGACCTATTGTACCACGGGCAGCCGACTTTGAAGTTCTCATTGGCTGCAGAGCTTGAAATGTAAAATTAAGATGCTGCTCTGCTCTGAGAGTGAAAAGCATGATGTGGTTTGCCTGGTAATGCCCATTCAAACATCAGCAAAACGTTTCCCCACAGCTCGGCCTAAATGAGAGGGCAAAGTAAAAAGGAAAGCCACAGAATGTTGTGGACCAAACCATATATAGCACAAACGTTGACCTTCAGGACTTAGCCCAAACCTGGTCCAGTATGTACAGCCCATTTCCATTTCCCCTCCTTCTAATACTTGGGCGGGGCCTCATAGACGGTGGTCCTTACTTTATAACACCCCGCAGGCAGACAGTTGTCTCGGTATTACACCAGAGACACACTACATTCCCTGAGACTCCGTTTCCCCACACAGTCTAATTATAACACAATCCCAGCAAAGCAAAGAATAGAGTGAGAGCCACAGAGGAAACAAAGTCAACTGACCTCTTTGTTTGGGTTGTCGAGCATAGAGACCAGAGCGGGGATTCCTTTAAGACGGCGCACATCAGACTTTACCTGGAAGAACAAAGTATTGATGTGAACAATGGGCTTGGACAGTGGTGCCTTCATGTGCAGTCAAGTTGACTGGCTTTACTGTCTTTAGATGCCACTTTAGCTCATAGATTAAGTGACTTTTAAGATGAATTAAATATTTTGGAAATGCTTTAAATATTTCTGAAAACCTCAAATGGGCAAAAAAACAAAGAAAAAACAAACAAACTGAGGCCTTTCTTAAAAGATCTTTGTTCAAACTCCAACAGCTAAAAATCTAATCCTGTTCTTAGTTCTTTTATCATTATGTCATTATTTATAGGTAATCCCTATAAAGTCTGGGCTTTTTTCAATAGGCAGCCCAACAGGCCACAACCAGCCAACAGGCAACCTCCAAGTGCTCCAGCCTGAGGTCTTGGCAGAGGTTCAGAAAAAGCCATGAGGAAAACTAGTTTTTCCTCAGCCTTCAGATATTCATGCAGCAAAGCACAAAATGGATGAGGAAAGGTCAATGTTAGCACAACCGTTGTTGTTATTGTTGTTGGTGGAGGACTAGGGTATAATCTGATTTTAAATATACACAGGAATAGGACTTTCACAAAGGCTAGCACAGACAAGGATCCTGTTCAAGCCAGTTCCTGGGCGACAGTTTAATTTGGATCTTTGTTTTTGTGAGAACTGTCAGCTGAAATGCTCTCAGGTTTGGAAAAAAGTCAACACCAGGCATTAGTTTGTTCAGAGAATGACTTGACCTCTGTTTCTGGTGTGCGTTGACAGCAGACGGAAGCAAGTAACTCACACTCAGCTAGAAATCACAGCTCCTCAAAATCTAAAAACATTGGGTGGAATGTGTTTGGATTTTTATTAAAAAAAAAAAACAGGAAAATAACATTAAGAAAAACCTCTATTTGAAAGTTATTATTAAAAAACCCCACTCAACTACAAGTAACCTGAGCACACACCTGCATTCACTGCATTACTTGTAATGTGTGCACAGTATTGTTAGCAGAGGACGAAGAGCTCTGTTTAAAGCAGGCAAGAATAACCTCCTTTTAGCCTCCCACCTCATCTAGAGCCCTACCAGCTGCTTGACAGGACGCAATAACAATGTTATAAATATATAATCATACAATAACTAAATAGAATTTGAACATTTAACATGACAAGCATTGTAAATTCAAATGTGATTTGAGGGGAGGATTGACAGAACAGAAACATCTCCTACTTTATCGTTCTTGTAGGTGAGGTGCTGCAGGTAAGCAGCTGCGTTGCTCTTCACGGGGTCCAGCCTGTAGTTCAACATGGCGATGACCTCCGGCAGCTCTGGCTGACGCCACCCTCCAGGACCAGGACCAGGACCTTTCCTTAGCGTGCTGTCCAGTGATGCCATGCTGCCTCTCTCACCCTGAGCCAGAGGGGCTCCTCCTCCCCAGTAATACATGTCCCCTGGTCCACTCATGTCAGCATCTAAGGTGCCCTCATAACTCCTGTGGAGATTAACACGTTACTGGACACATTTCTGCAAACGCAGACATATTTTAACATACAGTATATGTTTGAGATATATACATAAAGAGGAGGCAGCACTCACCCAGTTCTGCGTGGGGGGCCATGAGGGAATGCATGGGGGTTGCGTGGAACAGTGCTGTAGTGCATTGGGTGTCCCATCCCGTAGTCAGGCTCATCGTAGCCCATGCTGCGCTGATCATCCTCCAGACCATAAGGTTCTGGAACAAACCTTGGGATGGAGGACAGCTCCATAGCACTTCCCATTCGTCCAACCTAAGGCAGGACAAGGGTTAGTGTCCAACAGTGAGAGTTTAGAGTCAAAGGAAATAAAGAAGACCTCAGTTCTCAGATTAAACACAATTACAAAATAAAACCTTTTCCAAGTATAAACAGATTCTCCCAGTTTTTCCAAATTTTGATGAATTCTGCTGATATGTAAGTAAAAAAATGTATTCAGTGGAGCTTTGAGGTCTTACCTGTGGCTGAGCAGCGTAGGGGTTTAGTTGGTTCCTGCTGGGAGCTCTGTAGTTTGGATCCAGAGTGCTGTATCCATCTGGATGAACGGGTCTGGACAGTGAAAAACAAATGTCTTATAGATCTGTTTTGTTATTTCTGATGACTGGGATCTAACTGACAGAGATTCCACACCTGTAGCGATCATCCCTGCGAGCCCCCCTTGTAAGACTTGCGTAGGCCTCAGATGGAGGTCCTCCCTGGTAATCATCATAAACCCCCGGTGGTCCATAGTGGTAGTTTCGGGGCACCGTATGAGTGGGATAGTCCATGGCCATACCTCCTGGTGCCGGTCTGTAGACTCGGTCCATGGGAGTAGTGTAGCCTGGAACCCCGGTCATTGAACCCCCGCCATCAAGGGAAAGTGTGTCGGACACAGAGGGGATGACAGTACGAGTGGTAGTGGTCTTTACCATTTTCTTAACCTGGGGTAGTTGAAAATGTAGAGGAACACATGAAAATTTAGTTGCCGGTTTATGGCAACATTCTTTACAGTGAAGCATCATGGGAAAAGTATTTCAATTCAGCTCTGATTATCACCGTGGTTTCTGTGCGTCTCGTGGTTCCATCGTCACTGGTCTCCACAGAGATGACAGGTACAGACTCCTGGGGGTCTTCCTCCACTGTGTACGTCTCCTGCACCATCTGAGGCTCCATCCTGAACTGCACACGCAGACACAAGGATTAGTCAAAAGGTTCCAAGACACAAAGTAAAGAAACATTTTACGAGTAGTAGCTTTTTCAAATGTTTCAGACATTTCAGACACTTACGTGATGTGTCCCGTTGATGTAACCCTCGTTCAGTGTCAATCGCTCTATGTCTGCATCACAAGGGATGCGGCCGTTCTACAGAGAGAAAAGAACATAAACTTTAGTTGGGATACACATGCACACATACACACAAATTTACTGTAGTTCCTTTCTTATTGTTCCTTCAATACAGCGCAACATGTTTCAGCTCAAATATTCTCAAATCCTTAATTAGGAAACGTTTCAATTCTGTTGTTATTTGCGTAAGCCAATAATCTAAGTTGTAATGAAGCAAAATGCTGTTATCTATTGTTACATTCAGAAATTTCCCTCAGAGAGCACAAAAATACACCCTGATCAAACTGTTTCTTATTTGTGAATCTATATTTCAGTGCCTGAAACTAATAACAGTCTGAACAGGAACAAAGCAAGAAAGAAACACTTGAAAATCAAGTGAAAATCTGTGACAGTTTATCGTTCTGGTTTATAGTTTGCAGCTCATTTCAGACAGAAAGAAAAAAAAACCACACATGAACTCCTGGAGTGAAATGTGATGATGAAATGAACATATGACAAAAATGAGTCTATGATTTATTATACACAGAGAGAGGCCCAGATGTAACAAACAAAAAAACCTGTTTATCTCATGTTTTGAAACCACCAGCCTTGACTGCACAGATGCGAGGTATGGGTGTGGTGCATTTCCCATTCCAGCCACAGGGGGAACTCTAACCATATCTACTGTCATTTCTGCTGTTTATACATTCATAAGACTAACAGGACTGCACTGGGGGCTTAGCCACGGGGAGGGGTGTGTCACAAATAGAGGGAAAAGTTAAAGGTGATGGATTTCCATATTTTAATTTAAATTAAATTAAATAAAAACAAATGCCTTGCTTACCAACACTGAAAAGATTTTGAAATGCAACCTGTTCAAAATCAAAAGAAGACTAGAATGAAGAGTGAAGCAACTCCTAGGTATGAGGTAGGACTGTGTCAGTGGGAAGGGAAGAAAGTGTTGGGCAGATGTGAGCATGTGGGAACCCGTCAGTAATGACTGAGGTCGTGTTACGCTGCCTGGGAGAGTGGCAGAGGCATGCTATAGCCTTGGGGCTATGTAAACACATACACAGATAAGAATGAGTCCACGCTCAGAATTCTCTCCTGCTCTCACTGTAACAAACAATCAGTCTATTTTTTTCTGTCCTCTATCAGCGCTGAGAATTATATGGGTCTAGAATGGCTCCTGAATATGGGCCAATGCGTAACTGAGGCAGACGAGAGGGAAAGTGAAGGAGCGGTGGAGGCTGGCCGTTTGTTAAGACATTTCAATGGTCGCCTCAGGGACTCCAGAGTTTATGTTGTTACATGACAAGTGCATGACTACACTATCCACACTCGCTAATGACCGAGTGTCAGTGAGAGAATGTGAAAGAGAATGTGGGTGTGTGACTGGACACCTGGGTGTGATATAGCACTTTAACATTTTTAGATATAAATCAGATTCTAAATTAAGTTTCATTTAATCATCAATCCTGGAAATATAATGTTCTTGGTTCAGGGGTAGGTTCTAATTAGGACAGTGAATCATGTCATCAGTCCATTCCATTGCAGAAGCACGGACAGATACACTATGGTACGTGACAGGTAGGGGTGTAAGAAAATATCAATACACTGAAATATCGCGATATGTTATTTTCGCAATACAGTAATAATATTCTACAGCACAGCGTATTTTTTTAGTTGGTTCACTATAGTACTTTTATTTCTTCTTTAGTAAATACTAAATAATAAATATTTGTGTCTGTAGTATTGCAGCGTATTGTGATATATTGTATCATAGGTGACAGGTGACATGACTGAGTCTTCGGATCTCATTAGCCCTCTGATATTCCCAGAACACATTTACTATTCTAGTGACAGAACAGAGGATTTCTTCTACCAAATTCTTCTTATTTAATCCTTACAAACAAAGTACAAATGTCATCAATCGAATACAGACATTGGTGGAATTGAAGCAAGAACCTTCTGGGGCACAGGCGGTAGTCTTACCACCACACCACTAAGGTCTCCACTACAGTATCATTCATTAATAAAGTCACTCTACAAACCATATGCATGAAAAGCAGTTCCTTCAAATACCACAGCTGTGAACTAATGACAGGCATTAAATCTTCTGCATGCTAAATCCATGAGCGACTGTTAATAGTTTGACAGATGAAGGTTTTTGATGACAATGATGATGAGAGATTTATTTTGAAGCAGGCATCATGGGTGTACGTTGGAAAGGTTAAAGCATCAGATGGTTATGAATGACATCCTCAGGATGGCTTTAAAGGAAGTTGCATCAGTTGTTTTACCAATGTTCAATTTTAAAACCAAAATCTTAGCCATAAATCCCAAAAAAGCAGTTGGGTTTTAGCCACAGGAGGCTAAACTCCCACTCAGGTTTCAGTGATATTCTGCAACCATCCTGCCAATCCACACTGAGGGCACGTGGGTGAGTGTGGAGATGACAGTGGATGAGCACACTCAGATCGAAGATGGTTGGATCTGAGGAAGTTTGCGACGGAAAGTGTGCAAAGGTGTGGAATGGGCTGCCCGTTACCTGCATGTTGGGGAGGGGGCGGGGCAAGGTGCCGGCGCACGACCTCCGCTCCTCCTCCAGAGCTCGGCTCAGCATCTCAAACTGTCTCTCCTGCTCCCGCACCGAGGCCAGCAGGGAGGCCGTACTCGCACACTGCTCCATTCACACGCTGAGAGCAGAGCACAGGACAGGACAGGATCAACACCAAGGAGGCCAGAAAAGATTTAACCATCACCAAGATTTTAATCAAAGAACAGACCCACAGCAAGAATAAAAAACACCCAAGTTAAAATTTATAAAAAAGGGCACAGGCCCAGTTTTGATCCAGCAGTACACAAACTCCAGAAGAGTAACAAAGCTCCAGCATAGAGGTTGAGAAAGAAGCTGGGGCTGAGACAGGAAGCCAAAGGAGATAAATGAGGGGAAACGAGGACTGTGGGAGAAGAAAGCAGCTGGAGAGAATACGTGACTGCAGCAGGACAAACACAGCAATGCAACAATCAGAGAGAGGAATGGAGGTTCATCTCCTCAAAAGTGGGGATGAAGTTAATAATTCATGTTAAAGGAGCATCAGTGGAAAAGAAAACAGTCTTTTCACCTTCTGCGTTACAATGTTAAAAATAGGAAGAAAGTGAGAACGATGGCGAGAGACAACACCACCACACTTTCAGCTGCAGCGTGTGGATCTAGTTAACACTCCTTAACTTAATGCAGAGGGAGTCAGGAGGAGAGAGGGAGACAAGTGTGAGGGGCTGCTGTTTACTAGCAAGTGTTGGTGTTCATTCACTGAATCAGGACAGACATGTTTTTACAGCTTAAGTGTTTTTTTCTTAATGCCTGGCCTTCAATGTACATCCAGATGGTACAAATCTGGATACTTGTAGCTTCATCTAAAAACTGCAGGCAGAACACACCCATGCCTATTTAATCAAATTATATATATATATTTCTTATCGAGGACTATGTCAACTTATCATGTTGAGGTGGTAAAAGCCAAAATATTTTAACACAACTATTTCTGACCTTTTCTGATAACTCATGTACCTCCTGTAATTTTGCTGCTGCGTAAATTAGAGTCACAATCAAGCAACGTGTCCAGGATGTTTGAATGGCAGAAACAAGATTGGTAAAAAAAAACATTTTTTTTTCAGGTGGGAAATTGGGTATCGCAATCTGAAAAGAGAAGTACTCCTTTATACTGTATTTGACATGAAGAACAAAGGGTAAACAAACAGCACCACCATAAAAACCTACGGTAAAACATCTCTAAACAAAACATTACAGGGAAATTCTCCCTTTGTCTTCTGACACGATGAAGGGTGAAATAGTAGTAAGAATAAACCTTAAAATAAACTAGGGGTGTAAGAAAATATTTCTACGGTGATATATCAGAATATTTCATTTCACGATAGCATATAGATATTCTACAAGATTTTTTATGTATTTATTTTTCATTTCTTCTCCAGCGTTTACAAATACAGATTCCTCTGTTCCGGTGTTAGTAACCTGATGTTAAGCATGGAACAGCATTGTGTTTACTGTGCTGACAATTTTCCTGCAATTAATTGTTTTATAAAACTCAATATAACCCTGTGCTGTAATATCACAATATCGTTGCCCCTGTATCAGATGTATCGTATCGTCACAACACACAGCCCTAAAATAAACAAAGAATGTGAAAAAGAATGAGGAAAGAAGATCTTAACGATGAATATTATTATGTAGCACTTTGAATGTAAAGAATTTAGTCACTTGAAAGGCACAGCACATCCACAGTTTTGGTTTCAAAATAAGCAGCTGAATAGAATTAAATTAAAGAAGCAACAACAATAAATACTGGTGGCACTTATGTAAGAATACAAGTCATGTGTCTGCCAGGAAATGAAGGGCAACAGTGTGAAGTAAGGTTTGTTTGTGATCATGACACTGTCCTCCCAGAGAGAAAGGTTTTATATGAAACAGATGACCTCCTGACCTCTGCCTAAATTACTCAGGAGTCAACAAATGAATACAATGACAAATCCTTATCTTTAAGCGGCTTCTGCACAGACTCCAGTCAGGAAGTCTTGGATGACACCGGGGCTCATCTCGTCAAACGATGGTTTAAAATCATTTTCTACTTCTACTAGTCCGCTGACTCACTGAGAGTCCCCGTCAAAGACGAACAAAGGCTCCGACTGTGAGATGGTCTGTGTGTGTGTCCACACCAGAGTCAGGGGTTGTGTACTGTATGTGGGACAGAAACAAAATAATGGCAGCAGGTGCGGTGTGAGACGGAGGCAAAGATTACCCGCAGAAATACTCAGCGCTGGGGCAGATTTGGGTGCCTCTTGTTCCCCTCCATTTGTGTGAAAAAAAAACACATTTGTCGAGAAAAACATGCACGAGACACACAAAGACATGCACGCACACACAGCCATTGTCATACATTCCACAGTGAGATTTAGCGTGTCATATCCTGTCTCAGCTCCTGGAAACTGTCCTAATAAGGGAGCCCTTCATTCTTTCACTCTGCTTCTCTCACACCAACTTTTTTTTCTTCTTCTTCTTTTCCAAATACTCCATTTGCAGAAAAAGGGGGGAAAGAGGGAGCTGTTACTTCTTCTGGCCAATCAGGGTTGTCGACCACAAACCAACAAAGTGCTTCTACAGTGGATAATGCTCACAAAGTGAATAGATTTCAAGTGTGCCTGAGTAACCACTGTTGAAAGTGTGGAGTGCATTAAATGTTAACTTAAAACAAGAGCTCTTTGCTGAAATAATCTCTCTTGTTCGAGGAACAAAGAAGATTAAAAATGACAGTGCTAAAAATGTTGCATCATGGAAAGACAGACACAACCCCACTGTTTTTGGATTGGCTTTGAGGTGTGAACTTCAACTGTTCTTCACACATCTGTCAAAACTTTTGAGTCTCAGTTGGTGATAGTCTCATCTGCCTCTGTGCATCAGCCTGACGGAGCCACAAAACCATGCCTGCGACGCACGTCTCACCACTTCCATGTCTGTGGTGGAGAGTAGCTTCCTGTGAGACTTTTAAACGGCTTTTGGCTGCTTAATACTCACACATTAATCATTAATCCATTGTAAGGCCATTTGTGGTGGCTCTAAATCCTATTTGCTAATGGAATGGCTGTGGAATTACACTGCTAAACCACTTAGAATTCTGAGCCACTTCACAACACACAGATGTCCACAACGCACTGGAGCACACACACACTCAGTCAACATGTTTATGACCAGTCGCCCTGAATGTACCTTCTCATTCTCATGCTACTTCAGTAACAACTGAAGCTGTCAATCAATCATCAACTTAAGCGTAAATACAGTTGTGTGGGTTATCAAGATTTCAACATTAATATATTTATCATGTTCATTAATTCGTGAAATTAATCAGATACATTTTGTTACGTCTCACTCGTTGTTCCTCTAACACGAAGTCCATACACACATTATTATTTACACGCACTGTTGGAAGGAGTTGTTGTCTCACCGAAGCACCTGGATCTTAAAGTGCCATGCAAACTCCCAGCATGTGTGCCTCAACATCAGGTCAATGGCCCAGCTTGTGTCAGACATGAATTTGTGTCTCTAACTGTTCTCATTAAAATGTCCGCCATGTTTTTTTTCCCCCATTATGCTGGGCTGCGTGTGTATTTGCATGTTGCTTTCAGGTAATAATCTGACTAACAGGTCATGACAGGTCTTGTTGTCTGTGATACATGAAACCATATTGAGCACTATCTTTGGAAAAACTCCCAGCTTTATTAGCTGGCGTTTTGGGGTAGGCACATACGCACTGTAGCCATCCCACCCACTCATTTACACAAACACCAACACACCCACAGCTGAGGTGAAGCCATGCTAAAATACTGTGGTGGTTTGGCCACATGCTCTGCTGACTCAGCCTCATTGAAATGGTCACATTTCTGGCCTCTATGTACTTACGTGCATGTGTGTGTGTGTGTGTTAGCCTTGGCCAACACCCAACTACTGCCTTTACCATCCTCACTTGAAACCATGAATTCCACCAACCCTGTCCCGTGAGGCCTACAGTGGTGGTGGCTGTAAGGGGGGGGGGGGGGGGGGGGGG